TAAAAAAAGCAGTGGTAGAAATCATGATCAAGCAAAACCAAAAATAGATCTAATTAAAAGAGATAAGCAGGGAAACAACATTTTGCTAAAAGGTACCATAGACAAAGAAGTAATATCAATACTAAACATATATGCACCAAATATATGTAGAGTATCCAAATTCTTAAAGGAAAAGTTAAAATGATTTACAGAAAGAAATAGTAAAACTATACTAGTGGAGGACCTCAACTTTTCCTTCTCAGAATTAGATAAATCTAACCATAAAATAAACAAAAAAGAAGTTAAGGGCTTGGAATTTTAGAAAAGTTAGATATGATAGACCTCTAGAGAAATTTGAATTGGGATAGAAAGGAGTGTACTTTTTCCTCAGCTGTACATGGCACCTTCACAAAAATTGATCATGTATTAGGGCATAAAAACCTCACAACCAAAAGCAGAAATATTAAATGCATCCTTTTCAGACCATAATGCAGTAAAAATTATGTCCAATAAAAGGCCATGGGAACAGATTAAAAATTCATTTAAACTAAATAATTAAAAGGTATGAGTGGATCAAAGAACAAATCATAGAAAGAATAATTTCATTAAAGAGAACAGCAGTGAGCCAACATACCAGAATTTATGGGATGCCGTCAAAACCGTACTTAGGGGAACTTTTATATCTCTGAATGCTTACGTCAATAAAATAAAGAGAGGTCAGATCAGTGAATTTGGGGCGTGCAGTTTTATTCTTGTTATTTTTTTTTTTTTTTGACTAGGCAATGGGGTTAGCTGACTTGCCCAGGGTCACACAGCTAGTAAGTGTTATGTGTCTGAGGCCAGATGTGAACTCAGGTCCTCCCGAGTCCAGCGCCGGTGCTCTATCCACTGTGCCACCTAGCTGCCCCAGGGCATGCAGTTTTAAAGAAAACTAGAAAAAGAACAAAAATCCCCAACTAAACACCAAATTAGAAGTCCTGAAAATCAAAGGAGGGATTTAATACAATTGGAAGTAAGAAGACCGTCAAACTAGGAGCTGGTTTTGTAAGGGAAAGGCAATAAAATGAATAAACCATTGGTCAATTCGATTAAAAAATAGAAAAACCAATTACTAGTATCAAGAAAGAAGAGGATGCATTCAGCACCAATGAAGATGGAATTAAAGCAGTTATCAGGAGCTGTTTTGCTCAATTATACGCTCTCAGTCAAAGTGAGACAGGATGAGCATTTACAAATATGTAAGTTTCCCAGATTAACAGAAGAGGAAATAGAATACTTAAATCACCCTGTCTCAGAAAAAAGGAATTAAACAAGTCAAAAATGAGCACTCTAAGAACAAATTCTCAGGACCAGACGGATTCATAAGTGAATTCTACCAAACTTCTAAAGCATAATTAATCTAATCTCAATACTATATAAACTATTTGGGAAAATAAGCAAAGTAGCAGTCCTTTTGTGACACAAACATGGTGCTGATACCTACATCAGGAAGATCAAAACAGAGAAAACTATAAATTTCCTTAAGGAATATTGATGCAAAAATTTTAAGTAAAATACTAGTGAGGAAATTACAGCAATATATTACAAGGATCAAACACTGTGATTAGGTAGGATTTAGACCAGGAATGCAGGGCTGGCTCAGTCTTAGGAAAACTCAGCATTATTGACAATATCGACAACAAAAACAACAAGAATCATGTGATATTCTCAATAGATGCAAAAAGCTTTGACAAAATACAGCACTCATTCCTATAAAAACACTAGAGAGCATAGGAATAAATGGAGCTTTCCTTAAAATGATAAGTAGTTTCTTTCTAAAACCATCAGCAAGCATTGCCTGTAAAGAGTATAAGCTAGAAGCCTTCGCATTAAGATCAGGATTCCCATTATCACCACTGTTATTCACTGTTGTACTAGAAATGCTAGCTATCGCGATAAGAGAAGAAAAAGAAGTTGAAGGAATTAGAAGAGGCAATGAGGAAACAAAACTATCACTTTGCAGATGATTTGATGATATACTTAGAGAAAAACTAGTTGAAACAATTAACAAATTTAGCAAAGTTACAGGATATAAAATCAACCCGTATAAATCATCAGCATTTCTATGTTATTACCAGCAGAGTCCAGCAAAAAGAGATAGAGAAATACTTAAAATAACTGTAGCCAGTATAAAATACTTGGTAGTCTACCTGTCAAGACAGACCCAGGAACTATATGAACACAATTACAGAACACTTTTCACACAAATAAAGTCAGATCTGAATAAATGGGAAAATATCAGTTGCTCACGGGTAGGCCAATCTAATATAATAAAAATGACAATTCTACCTAAATTAATTTACTTATTCAGTGCCATACCAATTTAAGAAAAATTATTTTATAGTGGGTTTAATCCCATTCTGGATTAATCCCAGTATTATTCTGGAATCACATGTGGTCACATCAGTTGTAAATGGGGAAAAAAAGAAAAAAACAAAACCCCAAAGCCAAACATCCTAATGCCTTCTTAACCAAATTTCCTTTTTTTATTCTGCTTTATAGTGTTCAACATGTTCATACTGTAGAATCATGGAGCCTGTTCTGCAGTTGCAAATGTAGATTATGTCTATGTACGCGTTTGTATGTCTGTGTAGGTGAAATAGAAAGACTTCAAACGTGTTCCTTTACAGTGGTTCTTAAAGCTCTCCTGCATCCTGCGGGATTGGATTTTGTTTTGTTGGGTTCTGTAAATAAAGCAGGCAAAACAAATTTGTTTAAAAAAAAAAAAAGCTTGTTGCTTACTATTACGTGTGCTAAAAGAACAGAAATAATTGCTGTCAACTTAGGAAAGCATAATGACGGTCACATTTCTCCTACTCATGTTTTCAAGGGGGAATTCACTTTATGAAAGTAAATGGGAGCAAAACCACCACAAAATATAGTTAATAGAAGCCTTTTTATATTAAAAATAGTCCATAAACCCACATAGATACCAACTAATTTGTTAGCTACAATAAAACCTTTAAGTACGCATAGTTTGTCCTCTAAAAGTGAACAGAAAATATTTTGCGAAATAGAATTTTAAAGGAGCATTATGAAACAATGTAGGTGGTTAAATTCCAAGTACTCGGTTAAATTTGCCTTACATAATGAAATCTATTGTAGAAAATTGGAAAGTAGCTTTGTGGTCTAGTTCTATGTAGGAAGGCCTGTACATTCCTGTGGCCCTCTCCTTGTCTGCCCATTTCCCCAATGAAGGGGCCTGCTGTGGTCATGCAGCCTTGCCTAGTGAAGCCCTTCATGTGGGAATAAAATTGGAAGGTTCTTCTACTTCCAGCTGCATTTTGTGGTTTTCACATATTTTCTTCAAATCAGATAAATGTTTGCAAATGTAGTCATGAAGGTAGCACGGTGACTGGAACGCTGAACTTGGAGTCAGGAAAACCTGAGTTCAAATCTAGCCTCACACATTTACTAGCTGTGTGACCCTGGACACAATCTCTTCATCTCTGTCTGCCTCAGTTTCTTCATCTTTAAAATGGGGTGCTAGCAGCACCTACTTTGCAGGTTATTATGAAGCTCAAATGAGATAACGTACGTCGTCATGCTTTGCAGGCTTTAAAGTACTTTATTCATGCTACTATTCTTTGTATAGCTTCAGAGTTGGTACCATAGACAGTTATCTTATCCAGCCTTCACATCTTACAGATTAGGAAGGTGAGACTGAAGAAGAGAAATGACTTTTCTCCCATCCCGCAGCTCGTCAGTGGATGAGCCAAGCTGGGTTCAGGAGTTCGCACCTCTGATTCTAAATCTGGTGTTCTGTCTTTTGCCCATGCTGACTCCCCCCTCTAGGTGATACATCGATAGTTGTCAAAGCAACATTCAAGGGGTGAGCCTTTCAGGAGAGATTGGTTCAGACGTGTTGGGTGTTTTTTCCCGGAGCCCTTTTATATTCTGGATGGGCATTGAGAACTCTTCTGATCTACAAATGGTCAGAAATCCACTGGAGGAAGAGGAAAAGCTAAGGCCTTTAGCAATCCTGGGCAGATGACCATTAGATGCCTACTGTGTGCTAGAATCCATGCTTGACTAGTGATAGAAATTCAAAAACAAGCAAGTGCTACGAGCACCAGGGAGCTCCCGTTCCTAGCCAAGTCAATACGGGCCATGTCCTGAAGGGCCGTCAGCCAGCAAGCATTGATGAGGAGCCTGTTCTGGGCCCAGGGGCAGCCAGGCAGGAAAGTCTATGGGATTTAAGCTGGAGAATCTTACTGAGTTTTTAGAATGCCTCTACCTTCTCTGCAGCAGGTGATAACAAGAACAGTACTTCTTAGCACTTGAAGGTGTTCAAAGCAAACAGTAGGTGCTTAATAGATGTCTATTGACTGATGTAGTTTGATCCTCTAACAGCCCTGAGAGGGTGGGGCTGGCCTGTGAGTAGCAATTCTTTTCATTGTGCCTTTTTTTTTTTTTTTTTTTTTTAAGCAAATGCTTATTGTGAGCATCCTTGACCTAGTGACGGGGCCTCCAGGCTCTTCTCAAACCAGACACTCCATCTCCCAACTCTGGCTTTTCTTTGCCTTTCCCTCATGCTGGGAATACTGTTCCCCTCCTCCTGTCTGCCTCCTGGCTTCCCTGGCTGCCTTCAAGGCCCAGCTCACCCCCCCCTCCCCACAAGAAACCTTTTCTGAAGTTCCTTAATTCTCGTGCCTTCCCGATGGTGATTATTTCCAGTTTGTCCTGTGTATATCTTGGTTCTATGTAATTGTTTTCCTGTTGGCTCCTGGTGAGCTCTTTGAGGGCAGGGACTGTCTTTTGCCTTTCTTTGTATCCCCAGCCCTTAGCATAAAGCCTGGCAAATAGTGAGTGCTTAATGTATGTTTATTGACTGTAAAATTTTGCGGTTTTAGTAGTCACTTCGTTTCACCAGCTCTTCTGGGGGAAAAACATTTATCAGTATGCCTTGGGCTTTACCTTAGAATTTACTATATCCAACAGTTCGTTGTAATTTCATTTTTCCCTCTTTTTTTTTCCTAAAGCAGCAGCAGCAGTGATGCAGCAGGTGTTAGACAACCTCACCGAGCTGCCCTCGTCTGCGGGGGCAGGAGAAATAGACCTCATCTTCCTCAAGGGCATCATGGAGAACCCGATTGTGAAATCCCTGGCAAAGGTAGCTGGCTTTGTTCATGGGGTCCTGGAAACATATGGGAAACGCTGTTCTTTGGGAGGACTACAGTATTTCAGATGTTACCGTTGCAGGCAGTGCCTCTGGTAATATCATTTTAGTTGACAAATGATAATCCCTGTCATAAGGAAATCCTAAAGTGTTCACAGTAAACCAAGTTTCTTCTTACATTAAAAACAGAGTTTTATTGCTCCTATGGACCCAACTCTGCCTTCCTGTGGTTAGAAAAATTCCAGGTGCATCTGTATAGGATCATAGATGAAGTTAGAGTAGGAAGGAGCTTCGGGAATCTTTTATTCCACTCGTCTGACTCATTTTACAAGTGAGGAAATTGAGTCTCAGAAAGGTTAAGTGGCTTCTTCTCCCTTGTTTCCCTTGATGGGATCTGGAGCTGAGGAGAGAACGTGGGTTTAGTCTCAGTATTCTGGAATCCCACGGAGGGCCGTCTGAACGTCTCTATCACACTGTCTCAGAGCCACCTGATCCCCTCCACGCGGGCCATCTGATGCTCTCCGTGGTGACAGGAAGGCTCTCATTGGACTGGGGAAACTCATGCAGAGTCCGTGAGATGGGCGATCTGGGACCTTCTTGCTTCTCCTCTCCCTCTGCGGAATAATCTGGTATTTAACCAAAGGCTCGCTCCTTCCTTTTCTGTATGGAATCCATTGCCGCATGCGTTGCTTTCTCGACTTGACTTGTCCCTTCCTTCATAACGTTCTTTGCAATCTCTAGCCAAGGCCAAACCATGTTCCGTCCTAGACCCCTGAAGCCCTTGTGATTCCTGGTTATGGAACAGTTTCCATCCTCCCCGTGAGCCAACCTTGTTTGGTCCTAGGGTCCCTTCATCCCTCTCTTTAACGTGTGATGTTTTGATAGAGGAGTCCGTCTGGCCATCTCGTGCCCAGGGTCTTCCTGGGCTCACACTGGCTGCTGTTGACTCCTGAGGTATTGCTGTGCTGGTTTTTCTTGGTAGACTGGGAATCTGTTTCCTTAAACTTTTTCTCGAACAGCTTTCCTATGTGTTGTTGCGTCCTGTCCATTGTGCTCTAGGAGGACTGAGGGGAGGATGCTCATTCTAGCCCCCTCCTCCACGGGCAGCTGCTGGTGCCCAGGCTAAAGGAAGGCTAGCACTCCTCTGTGGAAACGTGACCCCTTGTTAACGGGCCTTTCCGTCTTCACGCTGTGGCCCAGTGGAGAGTGTGTGTGCTGGTTGTAGAGTCAGAGCACCTGCATCCAAATCCCAGCTTTGCCACTGGGCCTCAGGGTCATTGTCCGTAAAACGGAGTTGGACAGAACGCCCGAAGGTCCTTTGCTGCTCTGAACTTGTGCTTTGTGTACTGGCGAGAATTCCCAAATTCAGAAGGAGGTTCCATTCAGAGTTTAATACACAATGAAATCAGTCAGTGAATGCAGATTCAGAGACAGTTCCTCAAAAACAGGCTAATCAAAAAGTTCACATCTTTGGAGTTCCCAAGACAGTGACAAAAACCAGCAACAGATGTTTTCATTGACTTTGAAATTATTTTATTCACTTTGTTTTGGGCCTTGGGTTTTTGGCTTTTAAAAACTCATTTATTGAGTATTATTTCTGCATTTGTGCTTATGTATCTGGGACAGAAAATGCAGATGGACACTGAACTGAGCCTGGAGTTGAGGAGAGCAGGGGACGGTTCTGGGACATCCCAAAACCCTTTTGAGGATCAGTGGCCCTGGGCATTCCCAGCATGTAGCAGCAGGATCCAGGAAGCTGGTCAGGGTGAAGCACTGGAGGAGAGGCCTTAAAGGAGGAGCCTGAGGGGCCCAGGGGAGAGGGACAATGTAGGAGTGGCAGCCAGCCTGAGGAGGTGGGAGCCTGACTTTGGTCAAGGGAAGTGATTCCAGAAAAGTGGGCTGGAGGCAGGCACGGGAGGGCTCACACAAAGCTGAGTTTGTATTGATTTTACTTATCAGGACAAGAGGAAAGCATTGAAGACTCTTGAGCAGGAGAGTAATATGGACAGATTTGTGCTCTGGGAAACGTTTGGAGCAAGTGTGCAGAGGATGGATGGGGCAGGGGTGGGGAGACCTTGAGCTGAGCTCTCTGCTGTGGTTCTTCTGACTGAAGGTGATGAGGGCCTGACCAGGGAGTGGCCACTTGAGTAGAAAAAGGGGTGGTCGTGGATGTGGGGTTGACAGGAATTAGCAACCGATTGACTGGAAGGGGGAAGGGTGAGAGAGGAGTTTAGTGTAATTGAGAGGGTTGCAAATATGGGTGACAGGTGGGTGGGGCAAATTGTCTTTGGCAGAGATAGGGAAGGTAGGGAGAGGGGGAAGGAGGGTTCCATATTGGGTCTGCTGACTTTGGGAGGACTTCTACAGAGGTGTTAATTGAACCCATGGGAACCTAGGAGATCACCAGGAGAGGATCTAGAGAAAAGGAACCAGGACAGCCCTGGAGGTCACCCATACTTAGGGAGCAAGGCATGAAGGTTGACAAGGCACAGGTAAGATAAGGAGAAAAAGCAGCAGAGAACAGTGATCGCCAAGGCAACAGAAAGGGACAGGAGGAGGGGTCACCAGGGTCAAGGGCATCGGAGAGGTCAGGACAGGGGAGAGCTGAGGAAAGGTCACCAGATTTAGTCAAAAAACCCAACAAACATTGGTAACTTTGGAGTGAGGCATTTCCTTCAAGCACTGGAAGCCAGATTACCAGCTGTTGAAAAGTGAGTGGAGACAAGGAAGTGGACGTGATAGGTCCGGGTGGCTGCTTTCTGGGAGCTTTGCTGTGAAAAGGAGGAGAGGTGTAGAACCTTGGTTTGGCTCTGGGGAAGGGTCAGGTGACAGATTTTTGAGGCTGGGAGGGACTCAAATGTGTTGGTAGGCAGCAAGGAAGGAGCCACCAGACAAGTAAAGGTTAAAGGTAATGGGGTAGGGGAGGAGGTGGAGGGAACAAGATGGGGTGGGATCAAGGCTTCCTCTTCATCAGACCCTGGAGCAGAAGATGACCTCGGGGGACATGAGGTATAGAGAAGGGAAGAGGGAGAGAGCTCCAGGGAGCTGCACTCTGCCTGGCTCTTTAAAAATCAGACAGCAAGTACTTACTCCACAGGATGGAATTTCAAGATGAATTTGGCTTAATCTTTAGTTTGAATTAGAAATTGCACTTGCATGATTCTTAAAGGCCAGAGGAGGCTGTTGATTTTCTGTGAAAACCTGAGGAAAAAGCCTGTGGATTTTTCTTTCTTTTTAAAGATGGTGCTTGGGTACTAAAGTATTAGAATTCTTCACCTATTCAGATCCTTTACTTGCTTTCAAGACCCACATCAAGTCTAGCATAACCACAAGATTTAGAGCTGAAGAGGCCTAGCAGCCATTGAGGCCAGCCCCTCATTTTTAGAGCTGAAGAAACTAAGACACAGAAGGGGTCAGAGCCTTGGCTGAGGCCCGACCCCAAATCCAAAGCGCCTTCCATGTATCAGGCCGTCTGCCCCATGAAGACCTTCCTAACTCCCTAGCCTGAACTTAGCGTAAACTGCCTCTGTTCAACTCAAGAAGTCTTTTTGAAAGACACTGCTGTATGGAGAGCCCTGGGCCAGGACCTGGAGAAAGGACTTGGTGCAGAGGAGTTGGGTGGTCTGGTACTAACACCTTTACACTTAAGCAGCTGGGAAAGGGCCACGTGACTTCCACGGGGTAAATGGCTTATTAACAACTAAGGGGACCAAGGGTACTCAAAAGGGAGGAGGGGAGAGAGACAGAGAGACATCTTAGAAGTGGCCTCTTATCTGGGTATTTCTCCCATTTAGACCATTGTCTTCTGGACCAAAGGGCTATTTTGTACTTTTTGTAGCTCAAGCAAAACGCGTTCTACTGATAGGCATGCAATAATTATTCAGTTGGGCACATTTTACCCACTCCTGGCTATACCACGGTACAGGTTGTAGGGATGCACAAGGCAAGCAAGGATTTCCAGGAGTCTTTTTGCCTGGTTTGCCTGTTACCTTGAGAGAAATTTGCCTGGTCTTCCAAGGTGTCCAACAGCCACACTCACACACCCACACACACAGACACTCTGCCCCACCCCCCCATATTACTTGGGTATGATTTTTCCTTATTTTCATTGTCACTCATTATCTTAAAAATATATATAGAAATGAGGAGAGAATTTTTTTAAAAAGCCTTGATGCTTTCTCTTTGGTTTTCTGTCCACTTCTCCCCTTTTTGACCAAACTAAAATTGCTGTTTAAACATTTGCTCAGCATTTCATATTTTCTGTTTATTCCCTTATAGCAATGGTGTCAAACTCAAATAGAACCGGAGGAAGGCGGGGGGGGGGATCCACACATAGGATCCTTGCCGGCCACATGTTGACTTAGTTTTAAAATGTAATATTATCTGTGTTTTCTTTTACTCTTAATGATTTTGTGCAACGTTCCCCAATTGCATTTTAATCTAGTTTGGGCTACCCTTGGAAGTATGTTTAATACCCACCCCTACCCTATTTATTCTGGCACAACGTAACGCCCATGAGACAGCAAGAGCCAGCTGAAGTTTGATTGGTGGCACATCTGAGTTTGCACGTGAGCTCATCTTCTGTCCTTTTTAATAAACGTTCAGGAAGTTTCTTAGGGGCCCAGAAGCTACCGAAATGTGGCTCTGCGGAGCGAGTGCTACGCTTCCAGAGACCAATGACTGCTCTTGTTCTCCCCGATTTCTGGATTTTGATTGCTGTAGTCTCACTGTGTGTCTGTCCCTTGCTTTTACTCTCACTCATTTTATTCGGTCACTTCACCAGCCATAGCAGGGCGGGCAATTCCTCTCTTTTCCTAGCCCGAATCCACATGTAATTACTCCAGCATTAACACAGTTCATTAGATGTGCACTCCATCTGGCCAGAGGTGCTTTAGCTTTTTTATTATGCTTTCCCTACTATATTTTCATTTCGTAAGATCAGTGGAGAATGAAATATAATTGATCAATTTTTAAAAACAGAAAAAAATTGACCTCAGAAACTATTCCCAGCACTTGTTTTCATGGTGTAGGCATAATTTTTTCTTGATAGTAAGCATAATTTGTAAGTTGCAACATTAATGTTTATTGCATCTTTTGTCTAATCTAGAACAATCAGTAAATTCTGGAGAGAATAAGGCCTCCTTAGTCAGCGTTCGGTTAATATTGTTTTTGAAGGAAGTTGTGGCCAGCTTTTTTAGATCTTCCATGAGTTTATTGCAAAATTTGCATTTTAGAATCAAGATGAGACTGTGAATTATAAATCTCATCATACTGCTTGAAAAACTGTGACTGGAAAATTTGTGTGCATGTGTATAACAAAATGAAATTTAGCTTATATGAGTCAAATATCAAAATAGTATGGTTTTTAAATAATCTTTGTGAAAGAAGAAAACATTAATTGTATCAGAAAGAATGAAAAGTAATACTCCTGTTAATTTAAATTTCTCATCATTTCAGGCTCATGAGAGACTGGAAGATTCTAAACTTGAAGCTGTCAGTGATAATAATTTGGAACTAGTGAATGAGATTCTTGAAGACATCAGCCCTTTAATAAATGTAGATGAAAACGTTGCTGAGTTGGTCAGCATTCTCAAAGAGCCTCACTTTCAGGTAACCTTTCCCCATCATACCTTTCTCCCTTACCTACCTCTAGCCCTTGGCCATGTGATTCGTCTTTTACCAGTGAAGCTTCCAAAGAGCTTGGTCTTATATACTCAAAATGGTCCATTTTTTTCTTTTGTCATCTTCTGACCCTTTTTTGAAGGGTCTCCAATTTGCTTATGATGTCATATTTTATTTCTGTCATGTATCCACTTGGAATTTATCTTGGTGTATAATGTGAGATACTGATCTAGACCTCATTTCTGCCAGACTGCTTTTCAACTTTCCAATTTTCTTAGCAGTTTTTATTTTGAATAGTAAATCCTTACCCAAGCAAGTGAAGATTTTGGGTTTATCAAGCACTATGCCACTGTTGGTTTTTCTGGTGGTATTGTGTGCCTAATCTGTTCCATTTATCAACCTCTTTATTTTTTTAATTTGTACCAAATCGTGCTTTCTAGTAGAATTTGAGATCCAGTCCTGCTAGGTCCCTTCCCCCCCTTTTTTTAATCACTTTTTTACATTATTTCCCTAGATTCTTGACCTTTTGTTCTTCTAGATGAATTTCATTATTTTTTTCTAGTTCTATAAAGTAATACTTTGGTAGTTTGTTTGGATATGGCACTAAGTAAATTAATTTAGGTAGTATTGTCTTTTTTTTATATTCTCATGAATGGTTAATAACTTCTCCAGCCATTTTGACTTGTCTTTACTTCTGTCAGATTATTTTGTAGTTGTATTCACATTTTCCTGAGTGTGACTTGGTAGATAGTCCCAAATACTTTATATTCTTTAGCTGTTTTGAGTGGAAATTCTTTTTTCTGCTTTGATGACTTACTGTAGATTTGTTTTATATCTCACAACTTTACAAACTTTATTAATAGTTCCAATCAATTTCAGTTTACTCTTTAAAAGCTCTTTAGATAGGATTCTCTTGCATGTCATTTGCAAAAAGTAAAGAGTTTTGTTTGCTCTTTGCCTGTGTTTATTCCCTTAATTTTCTTTCTCATCCTATTGCTATACCTAGCATTTCAACTGCTATGTCAAATAGTGGTAATAATGGACATCCTTGCTTTATTCCTTGATCTATTGGAAAGGCTTCTAACATTTCTCCATTGCACATAATGTTTACTCTGGCTTTAGATAAATACTATTTACTACATTAAGAAAAAGTTCCTCTGTTCCTATGAGGTTTAGTGATGTATTTTGTTAAAAGCCATCTAATATCTAATGATAAAAGTATGTGGTTTTTCTTTATGTTATTAGCAGAATTTGTTAGGTTTATAATCTTCCTTATATTGTACCAATCTTGAATTCCTGGTATAAAACCAACTTAAATATAATGAACAAGCTTGTTGATATGTTAATGTACCTTTTTTGCTAACTTTTTATTAAATTTTTGGGTTAATGTTTATTGGGCATATTGGTCTGTAGTTTTATTTCCTTACTTTCTCTTTCTCTGATTTAGGTATCAAAATCATATGTGTGTTCTAGAAAGAAATCGGAAGGGTCCTTTCTTTTCCTATTTTTGTAAAGAATTTATATGATATTAAAATTAATTTTCCTTTGAATGTTGTTATAATTCGCTTCTAAATCCATCTGGTCCTGGAGTGTTTTACTTCGGGAGTTTAACGTCTTGTTCAGTTTCTTTTTTCTCATACAAGGTTATTTAAATAACCTTTTTTTTTTTAAGTCTGGCTATTTTATATTTTTGTAAATAATCCTCCATATGAGGTCCATATATGAAATATATTCCAAATTTGGCTACTTAAATACTTTAGATACTCATGGTGATTTATATTATTTAAAAAAGGAAATGAGTTCTCTTTTGGCCTCTGTTTTAGATTTATTTTGACCTTCAATGATTTCTAGTGGGATTCTTCTTAGTCTTCCTATAAAATCATGGTAACAGTTGCAGGGTCTTTCGTGTGGAAGGATGACCCCACATAGCCACCCCCAAGGGGGGACCTGTGAAGGTTTTCTCTTTCCATCCTTCCCCTTTTTCTCGGTCCTTGTGACCAGACGTGTTGGAGCTGGCAGGCTGGTACTGATGTGCGGGTTATGGCCCAAGCACAGAGCAAACCCGATTGGGCTGCCTGGATTTTGGAAGCCAGTTTGCTTCATTAGCCTGCTGTCCTCCGATTGACTTCCTTAGCTGTCAAGCCAAGATTAACCTTTATACAAAACTAAAAAACCATCGTGGAAAGTATTTATGCATCAGGGCAGCTAGGTGATGCAGTGGATAGAACACCAGGTCTGGAGTCAGGAAGACCTGAGTTCAAATCTGGCCTCAGATGCTAGTTGTATGACTTTGGGCAAGTCACTTCACCCTGTTTGCGTCAGTTTCCTCATCTGTAAAATGGGCTGGAGAAGGAAATGGCAGACCACTCCAGGATGTCTGCCAAGAAAACCCCAAATGGGGTGACGGAGAGTCAGACGAGACTGAAACAACTGGACAGCAGCAACAACAATCTGAAACATTTCTGCTGAAGGAATGACCCCTTTGATCCAAAGGCCTGAAGCAGTGTTTCATCCAAATGTACATCCAGAGGTGTTTTGGTTTTTTTTTGGTTTTGTCTTTTTAACTGTACTGAAATTCATTATCTTTCTTCCCCAAAAGGCAAAAACCCCAGGCCCTGCTCCTGAGGAGTGCGAGACAAGTTCCTTTTCCAGTCGTCTTCCACTTTCCTCCCCTCTGCCCCTTCTGCTATCTAGACCGGCTGTCCCTTGCTACTCCTCACCTTGGTGCCCCGTTTCCATCTCTTGTCTTGGCTGTGGCCGTCCACCCTGGCTCCCGGCAAGGCCAAGCTCACATTCCGCCTCCTGCGGGCGTCCTTTCCCAGACCCCCTCCAGGAGGACCCCCTCCAGGAGGACCCTCTCCATGCCCATTTAGTTTCATGTCTCCCTCATTGGACTGGGAGTGCCTTGACGGGAGGGGCTGATTTGGCTTTTTCTTTGCATCCCCAGCTCTTAGCACAGTGTTGGTACCTAGTAGGTGCTTAATAAATGTGTGCTTACCAACGGACAAAAGGATTCAGTTGTGTTTGTAGAGTTTCTGGTCTTTTAAAATGCAAATATCAATCATCAGAAAACAATGGTTTCTCATTTACTGAGTGTGCTTATGCCGTGGTACTGGCCTAAATGCTCTACAAAGCTTTACTTAGACATAATGACAAGGGTCCTTCTCTTGATCAGTTCAGTTACTAGGCTTCTCTTCACAAAATCCCTTTTCTATACCCATCACATTAACCCTTTAGGGCCCAAAACTTGTGTTATCAAGGTTAGAAGCCTGGCATTTAGAAAGGAGCTGTTCTCAGTGCATTTACCTAGCAAAGAAATAAATGTTGTTGTTGTTTACACTCATGTCTGACTCTTCATGTCCCCATTTGGGGTTTTCTTGGCAGAGACACTGGAGTGGTTGCCATTTCCTTCTCCAGCTCGTTTTACAGAAGAGGAAACTGAGGCAAATAGGGTGAAGTGACTTGCTCAGAGTCAGGCAGGTAGTAAATGTCTGAGGCCAGATTTGAACTCATGAAGATGAGTCTTACAGACTCCAGGCCTGGTGTTCTGTCCACTGCTCCACCTAGCTACCTATTTTTCACTAAACAAATTGGCAAGTAATATTTTATATAATATCTTAGACAACCATTGATTGATGGCTATCTGTGTCTATCAGGGACTGAACTGGTGTCACATCAGTGAGTCATGTACTCCAGACAAAGTGTTCAAACTGCAACTTGAAGAGTCAGTTCCCCATAATTTAGCCGGAGGAGAAAAGGAACCTTCACATAGGAGGCATTGCTAAATACAGAGATGAATGGAAATAGCAGGAGTCCCAGTGTTGAATTAATGAATGATTTAAACTTTGTGACTGTGTCCTTCATGCTTTGTGATGTTGCACAATGCCGACTGTACTGTGCTATGTTTTAGTCAGTAAGCATTTATTAGGCACCTGCTGTATGCCAAGTGCTGGGGATGCAAAGAAAGGCAAAAGCAAGCTCGTGCCTTCCAGGATCTCACGGTCTAACGGAGGAGACCACATGAAAATAACTATGCACAGACGAGATAGAAAAAATGGGAATGATCAGAGAGGGAGGGCACTTGCATTAAGGGGCTTCAGGAAAGGCTGCTAGTGGAAGGTGATCTTTGAGCTGGGACTTGAAGGAAGCCAGGAGGTGGAGATGAGGAGGGAGAGCATGCCAGGCATGGGGCACAGCCAGGGAAAGTGCCTGGAGGTGGGAACTGTAGGATCTTGTGCAAGGAATTGCAAGGGGGCTGGTGTCACTGAACTGCAGAACATATGATGGAGGAGTTATGATGATGAGGGAAAGTCTGGAGGGGGCCGGGTTAGGAAAAGCCTCTAAGTGCTGAACAGGATTTTATATTTGACCTTGGAGGCACCAGGGAGCCGCTGGGGTTTATGGAGTAGGAGGGCAGGGCGACGTGGTCAGACCTGTGCTTGAGTAAGATTAATTTGACAGCTGAGTGGCCTAGAGCAGGGAGAGACGTGAGGCCGAGAGGCCAACCGGCAGGCTCTTGAAATGACCCAGGTAACGAAGGCCACAGTAGGGGCAGATCAGAGGATAGAAAGTGCATGTCTGAGAGATGTCGTGAATCGGATCAGGTGTAAGAGAGACTGAGGGGTTGCAGAAGAAGCCTGGGCTGTGAGCCGGGGTAACTGAGGGGGCAGTGCCCTTGACAGTAAGAGGGAAGTGGAGGGGGGGGAGGAAGCTAATGAGCCCAGTGTGGGATTTGTTCGGATGGTTGAAGGATGTCCGGTTTGAGATGTCACCTGGGTAGATGGAGATGCACGTCTGGAGGTCAGGAGGGCATAAAGACTGGAGAAGTAGATCTGAGGCTCATTAACGTCGAGATGATGATTGAACTGGGGAGCTGAGGAGAGCAGAGCATGAAGGGAAGAGGGCCCAGGACAGAGCCCCGTGGGACACCCATGGTTTGCGTGCGTGACCTAACTGAAAATCTTGTGGAAGAAACTGAGGAGGAGTGGTCAGAGAGGTAGGAAGAGGGCCAGGAGAGCATGGACTCCTGAAAACCTCCAGAGAAGAGGGTGGTCATCATTGTCAGAGGCTTCAGAGAGGTCAAGGAAGAGAAGGACGAGGTCCTTATTTCACTTCTGCGTATGTCAATTTTCCTATCAGCTTTGCTTATGGCAAAGTACGCCTTTTTAACTTCCTGTCACCATATATCTGTCGAGCTGTAGGCCTTCATTCGGATTTTCTTCTTTGCTGGTCTTCATGTTAGGGTTGGGAGAATCTAGGGAAGGCTCACTTTGCAAAGAGTCCTGGAGTATCGGGATCAGGAAATCCTATGGCCGATGGCTGTGGGGTGATGCCTGGCAGGAGGTGTCCTGGGCCAGCGAGACAGAGGAGCCCTCCTTCTCATCGTAGCAGTGGTGACTGCTGGGGTCTTCAGCCCAGCGGCTCTTCTGAGGCCTGTCTCTGCATGTCCAATGACTTACGTTGCTTTTCCCATTGCATATCCTGCTGTCGACTCAAGCTCAGTGTGTCTAAAACTCAGCTCATCTTCCTTCCCCCAAACTCGAGTGGGGAGGAAGCTCAGTAGCTGTCTCTTCCCACTCTTACTTGACAACAGGCTGTACGAGTGGTTGTTCAGCCTCTGAAGAGGCGGCTGTCGCTGAAGCCAGACCCTTCCACTCGGGGATAAGCTTCTTGTGAATCCTCGCTTCCTTGTCTTTGCTTCCCGTCCTGCTGGTCAGTGTTGCAGGCATCCGCATCTTTGGGGTCATAGCTCTTTGGGCACCCCCCCAAAAAAACCTCATCTGCCCCAGGCTAAATCTCCCTATTTCCTTCACCATGAACTCGGGTCCCTTCCCTGGTACCAGTTCCCCTCCTCTGTATAATTTCACGCTTAGCAATAGCCTTCCTAAAATGAGGAGCCCGAATGTGTTTTGGCCACGGCAGAATACAGAGGAGGTGGCCTCTCCATATTCCTGGAGGTTCGACCTCCCAGGACACAGCCCAAGGTTGCATTAACTTCCTCAATTACAGTTTCCATTGCTGACTCGCTGAGCTTGCAGTCCACTCAAACACCCCTGTTTTTTTATAGGGAGACTTCTGTCTCCCATCTTCTTCCTTGAAGTCATTTTTTAACCTAACAGTTATAACACTTTACCTCCTTTTTCATTTTCCTTTTACTAGATTTAGCCCAATATTCTAACCAGTCAAGATCTTTAAAAAATCTAACTCAACCGGTATGTTAGTTTTTCGTCTTAGTTTTGTGTCATCTGAAAATTTCATGAGCATGGCATCCACGCTTTTATCCAGATCATTGGTAAAAATGTTAAGCAGCAGCATGGGACCCATCCCCGCTCCCTGGGGTGCTCCAGCGGAAATCTTCTTCCAAGTGGAAATGGAACTAGTCATGATTTCTCTTGGGAACCAACTTTTATGAATCCATCTAATTGCATTATCATCCAGTCTGCATCTCTCCATCTCTTCTACGAGAAAAAGAGATCAGTTAGCCAGTGCTTTGTCACAGATCTAGGCAAACTGTTGCCAGAGCATTCTGCTGATTTGCCAGGCTCATGGTCCTGGCCAGCAAGGCCCTGAAGTTCATCTGGGCTGACCCTCCCTGGCTTGGGTCAGGTGCCTGGCCTTACTGATTTGGGCACTTTCTCTTCTAGATGTTTACCAATAATTCTCAATAGTAATTTGGAGACTTGCTGGAAATTGACACCACACTCACTATATGCCTTTTCTATAAACTTAAATTTCATTTAAACAACCATAAAATAGTGCTTAAATTCTCACTACAAATTGAGGCCACATCCAATTTCGATCCTGCATACAACTTTTAAAACTGTTGTAACTGGTATAAGTTCTGTGTTTAAATTCTGTCATCTAGTAATCACCTGACTGCTTTCCTTTTCTCAAAGAAAGTATTTTTTTTGTTTTGTTTTAATGTCTCACAAGCCGGGTGGTTGCCCATTTATTTTCAGTTTCCTGTAACCTAGCTGGTGCTGTTTCTGTTTCTTCAGAGCCTCGCGTGTTAGCTTTTTGGCCTTTGCAGCCTCAGAAATGTCCACTCTGGTCACCTGCCTCGCTTGGCCCTTTGTTGGGCCTGCTCCATGAAAAGGAAGACCAGAAACCACAGCGTTTCTCTGCTCCTCGCACAGTAGGGGCTTTAGGCAAGGATTTCTCTGGCGGCTTGCTCCCTTACTCCCACTTCTCTGCTAATCAGGGACTAATTTACACAGAATCACTTCTTCTCAATCCTGCAGTTTTACAATGTGACTTTCTGCTGGAACAAAACTGTTCTTTTTATAAAAGGTTAGACTCTTTCCTCACTCACAACCTTCAGATACAATTTTAATACAACACAGTTGTTTTTAAACCAGTTATCTGTCATTTCCCATAGTCACGCAGTCATAAAAGGAATCTCTGAGTTGGAAGGGACTTTACAGGTTATATAAGGATAATAACAATAATGATAGCATTTATATAGCACTATGAGGTTTGCCAAGTGCCCTACAAACATTATTTCATTTGACTCTCATGAACAGCAATGTGAGGTAGGTGCTGTTATTGTCTCCATTTTGCAGTTGAAGAAACTGAGGCATACAGATTACAGTGACTTGCTATTTTATAACCACCCCCCAAAAGTGACCCATGTGCTCTTGAGTCTGAAACCTTCAGGTCAGTGAAGGGGAGGCATCCCAGGCTCCTTTGGGAGCTCTGATTGTAGACAGATGTTTTCCTCATATCAAAGCTAAGTCTTCCTTCCTTCTGCCCATTGCTATGGATTCTTCCTCTGGAGCTAAATGTGGAACACATCTCCTCTCTCTTCCAAATGGCGTCCAAATGGTGTCCACAAGTATTTGAATGAGGAACTAAGCTAATGAGAAAACATTTGGAGTCAAGTCTTCCTTTGTATGGCACTGGTCTTGTGCAGATCTGTAGCTCTCCAGTCCTTCTTAGGTTTTCTCTTCTCGGAGATAGACACCCCTGGCTCCTTCATCCAGAATCCCGTTATGACCACCAGATCTCTGACCTTCCTGGAATGGCGTCTTTTCGGTACAGGTGGACTGGCCTCTCACTTGCTCTAGAAACTCCCATCTCCCTGCAGGCAGTATGGGGCTGCCTGGGAAAGGCTCGTGGTCCTGGAGTAAAGATAAAGTGGCATCCAGTGACCCAACCCCCATCCCATTGGTGGGGTCATTGAGAGTGAGCCATAGGTCCTTATTCCTTTGTTTTCTCACAGCTACAGTAATACTGCCTGTGAGAAGCTTCTGGAAATCAGTGAGGCCCTGGGGATCCTAAGAAGTCATGGCAGAGAAATGAGGAATGAGGGGAGCTTCTGATCTGGGCACAAAAGGTCTAGCTAGCAAAATCTGAACATGGCGAGGGTGGTGGAGGCATAGCAGATGCATGGAGATTTAATAGAGGAGGCGGTCGTCTGGCAGGGGTGGGTGAGGGAAGATTTGGCAGAGGCTTTGTTTTGCTCGGGCCTTACACGGTGAGCAGTATTTCAGAAGGTGAAGATGAGGTGAGGGTTTGTGATTTATGGCCCAAACAAGGGCTTGGAGTCTGGGGAAGAGCCTGGCAGCAGGAGAGAAGGGAGGCCAGCTGAGAGCAGGCTGTGAAGGGCCCTGAATGACTGGCCCAAAATGTGGGCATTCCTCCAACATTCCAGCAGGGAAGACGGGAGGCCAGCATTCTGATCAGAAAGCTGCTTCACTAATCCATGGTGGAAGCAATGATGGTCTCTGAGCTAGGGTCCTGTGGGAGTAGAACTAGAAAAGAGAAAGCACGTGCCCTGAGCCTTCTGTAGTGCCTACATTTCATGCTCAATAAGCGTGTGTGGCCAGAATTGGCACCTTATTGAGGGGGGTGGGCAGCATGAGTGAAGCAGTGTTCCAGGGAGAAATAATGATCCTGCCAACAGAAACAGGGGAGGCAGCAGGAGGAGCAGGTTTTGTGGGGAAGGCTGGGGGTTCGGTCTTGCACCTGTTGAGTTTGGGATGTTCTGAGAATGTGGCTCTGGCCCTGGGTGGAGGTGGATTAGGGGGTTGTACAGTGACTATGGTGGGTGGCCTCCTCTGGGCTACTTTTATTAAATGAAACCAGCCCTTCCCGCAGGTCTGTCGTTCCTAACCCAATGCTTGATCTGCCCTTTGTAGTCGCTTTTGGAGGCCCATGATATCGTGGCATCAAAGTGTTATGACTCACCTCCATCTAGCCCAGAAATTAATCATTCCTCTGTGAACAACCAGTTGCTGCCGGTAGATGCCATTCGTATCCTTGGTATCCACAAGAAAGCAGGAGAGCCCCTGGTAAGAACATAATCAGAACTCGACTCTGCCTTAGCCGTGAGCTGTTGGGGAAGTATCAGAGGTCTGGTACCTCCATCGTCTGCCATTTGTCCTCTGTCATCATGCATTCGAGTATGTCTCTGTAACGATCCTCTCAATTTTATAGGCACGTGCTGACCTGAGCACACTCCCTGAGCCCCTTTTCTAGGGTAGCTTATTATCCAGGGCCAGTAGGGGGGTACTGAGATGTGGTATACATCTGAGGGGTGGTTCTGTTGTACCCTAAAGAAGGAAAAATTCAGGTGGCCGGCCCATAGGAAATGCCACTGACAAGTGAAATTAGCACTCCTGGGCTATGACCATCCAAAAGCATGAATTCTTCATGCTGCCGTGTCACCCTCATCTTCCTGGGGTGGGGGTGAGGACCACATACAGAGACAATGGCTTCCTTCTTCTGCCCCTGCCCTAGGCTCCCAGGGCACAGGTGCTGGCTGAGCCTTGTTAAGAGAACCATGACGAGCTGGGCAAAACCCATTTGCTTATCCTGAGGGTCCTTGGTAAGGGCAGCAGTGAACATTTGTATCTCCTTCTTACGTGTTCAGGAATAGCCAAGGAGGACCCATTGGGGCCAATATAAAGAAGGTGCTGTTACTGCTCTTCTCCCTTAGGGTGTGACGTTCCGGGTTGAAAACAACGACTTGGTCATTGCCCGAATCCTTCATGGGGGAATGATCGATCGGCAGGGTCTTCTTCACGTGGGGGACGTCATTAAGGAGGTCAATGGTCACGAGGTCGGGAACAACCCCAAGGAGCTCCAGGAGCTGCTGAGAAGCATCAGTGGCAGCGTCACGCTGAAAATCCTGCCCAGCTATAGGGACACTGTCACCCCTCAGCAGGTGAGTGGGCCTTGGCAGGCACCCCCGGGTGGCACCAGAAGGAGGAATGTGCTTATTTTTTGTCACGTCAAAGAAAATGTTTTTAGCAAGGTCAGCGAACATTTGTGAGGTCTTTGCTCTGTGCAGGATACTGTTCAAGGTCCTGAGGAAAGGCAGAAATTCAATGAGACATAGTACCTGTCCTTAGGGAGCTGATGGTCTGGAGGGGAGAATATAACACAAATTATAATAAAAAGTGATGCGTGGTGAGTGTGCGAGAAAGACGTGAATCAAGGGGTGCCCGTGGTCCATGGTCAGGAATGCTCTTTACCAACTGCAAAGATCAAGGAAGGCTTCCTGTAGAAAATGTCATCACAGCGAGGCCATGAAGGATAAGCAGCATCTCACCGGGTTGTCACGATGGCGGGGGAGACCACATTCCAAAGTTGCACCTGTGTAGGGGGAGCCGTGAGGCATTACACTGGAGCCTAGGATCAAAGGAGGGGAATAGTGCAGGACGAGTGTGAAAATAAGTCCCAGGTAGGCAGGCGCTGAATGCCAGCCAATGCTGTTTGACCAGTGTTTTGTCTCGTTTTGAGTGTAGGCGTGGTATAGTCAGATCTCAGTTTACCAAAGATGAATCAGGTCCTTAATGGAAGGCGGGAGAGGGTGGAAGTGTGAAGACCCCGTCCAGCTGCTGGGCAGGGGGTGATGGCAGCCTGGAGTAGGGCAGCAGGAAGAAGAGTGGGAGGAGGTGCTGGGGTTCACATTCTTACGATTGACTGGTCGTGGGAGTGGGGAGGAGGGGCAGATGGGCGAGCGTCAGGGTTTTGAGCCTGGATGAGTAGCCTTGCCTCTGACAGAGAGAGGTTTTGAAAGAGGGTTATTAGGGTTCATTTTGCATGTCTGGGGTCAGGTGGCCTTTGGCTGAGGGGAGCTGGAGCTCAGGAGAGATTCGGAGAGATGCTACCTGAAGAGGAGAAGGGTGCTGGAGAAACAGTGACATGAGCAGCGGGAGAGTGCATGGGAAGGCAGGACGATGGGGAGGAGGGTGCTGAGCTGGAGGGACCTTGGAGAGCGTCATGTTCATTTTGTAGTGTCGGCCCTAGCACTGGTCAAGAAGAGTCACGACTTAGGCCCAGTCTGTGTCTGCCTGCCAAGCTGCGCTTCCCACCGCAGCCGGCTTTCACCTGGTCATGCTGCCTCGTGCAGATGAGGAATTTTAGAAGCAGTAATCTACTATGTTTGCTAGAATGAAGGGGGATGAGGGAACCAGGTCAAAATATGATGTCAACAGCAGCAAACCTCTGAATGCTCACTTCCCCGCTTGCCGAGCTGTAGCAGGTTCAGTCACACTACTGATTATTTTGTGCATTCAGTAAGTAAATATTTATGGAGCTATGTACTGGATACAAAGGTGTACAAGATACAATCAGGGCCCTCTCAGAGCTTAAGATGCAGTAGAAGAAGTAAGGCATGGGCATAGGACTTTACTGTACAGTATGTGGCAAATGTCACACCTGAGCAGTACAGATGAAAAGATACAGGAATAATAGAAATGGAGATTGCCTTGGGCTTGGGTGACCAAGGAAGACACCAAAGGCCAGAGAATCAGCTGAGCATAGTATATGCAAAGAAACCCTAAATTACTCAAACATGAGATTCACTTAAGAGAGTAACCTGGAGTGCCAGGCCAAGGAGTGTGTAGATTGTTCTTGGTTGGGGAGGGCTAAACAATGGCCAGTGAGAGCCAGGTGGCATCATCTGAGCATATAGTATAACAGCAATAGAGAATATTTTTTCCTTATTATATTTTGATATTTTAGAGAGCTGTAAGGCCTTCCTTGTGTGCAGACTCCCTCCAGGAATGCAGATCTGGACCTCTCTGTAACTTAACAGATGGTCTAACTTGATGATGAGCGTATCCAAACTTAACTAGGCTGGACGTTAAAGTGTGGACTTACAATCCATTTTGGAACAGCCCATTCTCTATTTTTTTTTTCTCCCTTTCCTCTCATTCCCATTTCCCACTCCCCATCATCCCTAAATGGGGCACCAGGGAAGGTTTTTAGTGGAAGTTTAAAATCTATTTAAATTTTAAAATCTGTGATCATGAAATATCTCTCCAAGACTTTTGCACATCTCTATTACAGAGTGTTCGAATCTGTAATTGCTTTAAAATAAAATATTGTTCTGAGCATATGCAGGAGCTAGATCCAAGTTGGCTACTCCATTGGCATGCTGGTTTATCATGCCCTTCCTACGCAGAAAATTGGAATCAAAGCCAAAGCTCTGCTACCTGGAGTCCTTGGCAGAGTCCGGTGGGGGGAGTTGTTTGTCACGTCAGGGAGCTAGAGAGGGCCGCGGGCCGCTTCCACAAGGTCCTGTCCAGAGCCGCTCTCTGCCTGTTCTGTGACCTCCATAGGACTGCTTCGGCTGCTGGGAGGCAGGTTGTAGAAAAGAGGCCCGTAAGTTCGTGTGGTTGTGATCTCTTAGCCCGAGGTGTCAGCCCCCTTCTGGCTTTCCTGGCCCCCCAGAATCTGGCCTCCCTGACCTTCTGCCGGGCCTCCTGGCCAGTCTGCAATCCTGCATCCCTCCTGCCAGGCCTTGATGCCCTCTCACCTCCAGCCTTGGCGACTGGTTGATTTTTCTTGCCTTAACAAACTTGCTGTAGCACATTTTCTTCACTCCTTGAGTCTTGGTCTGTGCCTCCTTTGCTTTTGGCAGTTGACCTTGATTCCTCTCTGCTTGAGAGATCAGAGGTGGAGCTCAGACGCCTTCGTCTTCTCCTTTCATACATATCTCCCCACGTCCCTACCTGTCAACTCATCCTTCTCAAAACTGCACCTTCAGCGAGGCCTTCTTGTTCTTGCTCCTCAGCCTGGCTCCTCATTCCTTTCTCCTCTCTGCTCCCACCTCCGTTGCTTCTTCTTTCTTTTTTCCTCAGTCCTGAATTCTTTGTACCACTTGTCACTTAGCCATTTCTCTGCCTCCTGCTTCTCTGACCCCTCCACATGCTTACTCTTCTATGCTGATCCTTGATCTCTCTCTCTCCCTCCCCCCCCCTTCTCCCTGTCCTCATGTCTCATCCATTGTGATCCCCTACCTCCAGTCCCTCCTTTCCTTTCCTGTTGTCATGACCCTTGTTCAGATGCTCATCAGTTCATCCCTGGGCTGCTGCAGGGCCTTACTCACTGGCCTCTTTGCATCCAGACTTGTTAGTGCCACTTGAAGAGTAATCTTCCTAAAGGAACAAGGCCTGCCCTCCATTGCCCACCAAGTATAGTCCGACATCTTTGGACTCTTGGGGCCTTTCAGTGTTTGGCATCAACCTCCCTTTCCAATCTGCTCTTCTTCCTATTCTTTTCCATCACACACTGTGTGTTCTCACGTTGGATTGTTTTTGCTCTTTGTAAAATACTTCCTGCCTCTCTGTTCACATTGTTTCTTCGCCATGGATTGTCCTTCACTCCCCTTTCCTATCCGTGTTTCAAATCCAGTGCCATCCTTGCTCTAAAGCTTCCCCTGATCCCTCCCAGATAACATCCTTCCCAACACATTTGAATTTCTTAGCCCTTTTAAAAAATCTATTTTGTTTTACTTATACATCTTACCCTGTATCTGTTATCTTCCACACCAAACTGAAGTTCAGTGTAGGCAGACTCTTCATGTCTGCATTCCCCACAACCCCTGCGCAGTTTCTTACACATAATGGATGCTCAATAAATATAGATTAAATGGATCAATGAAAATGTGTTTACAGGCAAAGCTCTGAATTTTTTTTTTTTAATGCCCCAAACATAGGACCCATGATGGCAATATGATTCTTGGGCTTAGAGACCCGGGGTCAGAAAAAACTCATTAATGCTCTATGGTTTTTTAATGATTAGGAACCATGGAGCTACTGCATTTGAACTACTAAACTGATTTTTCTCACTGTATTAATTTCAACAAAAACAGTTTTGACTTAATTAAAGCAGTGGAGGTTTTTTCAGAATGATACCTGCCTGGACAGTGAGACCAGTTGCTCTGTGACTTTACTGTAATGGCACCCCTTTGGCCTGGCCTGTCTGTACCTTTCTGTTGCTGATCTAGTCCTAAGGCTCTCTGCCTAAAGGAAAAAGGATCCCATGTTTGTGCTGGGCAGAAACGATGAAGGCCTGTTATTGTCAGCCACTGTGCTAAGAATACAAAGAAAGACAAAAAACGGCCCCCAGTCACAAGGAGCTCACAGTCTGATTGAGGAGGCGACAGGAAACAATGAGAGAAGAAAGGATACAGCCAGCATATGTCGGTGGTCAGTGGGTAAAGTGCCGAGGTCAAGGGGAGCCAGGAGTGACTTCTTGCAGAAGGTATGACTTTAGCAGTGACTCAAAGGAAGTCAGAGAAACCAGGGGATCGACATGAGGATGCCGAGTGTTCCAAGCACGGAGGGCAGCCAGAGAAAAGGCCCCGAGCCGAGAGACGGAGGGTCTTGTTTGTGGAGCGGTCAGGAGGCTGGTGGCCGGAATCCAAGAGAGTGTATTGAGATGTAAGGTGTGAGGAGGCTGGCGGGGCCCAGGGAATGCAGGGCACTTCCTATTTGATCCAGAGGCCACAAGGAGCCACTGGAGTTGATTGGGCAGGGGGTGATGTGGTCAGACCTGCATTTTAGGGCTGAATGGAGGATGGATTGGAGGCAGGAGGCACTCCTGCCCCCAGGAGCTTTGCCGTAGTCCAGGCATGAGGGGAGGAGGGTCTGCAGAGGGTGGGGGCTGTGGCAGAGGAGAGAAGGGCGCTGCAGAGGTGAGATTGGAAGCTTGCTGATGGCAGGGTTCCCATTGCCACCTGTGTACAAAGCAGCCAGAAGGGACCTGGGGCCCAAAGCGAGTGAGCAAAAAGCACATCCCATGGTTCTGTTCAGTGATCTCTGTCTTCTCTTGGTGATCCCTGTGGATGTGGATCATGGAATACCGCCATCCTTGAAGACATGCTGGATGACCGCGTGTGGGCTGCAGCACGTTACTGAGAAGGACGTGGGGGCGAGATGCATGGAGGAGGATCACTGAGAAGTGGGAGACCATACAGGGGCTGGGCCAGCGTGGAGCCGCTGGCCAGCCTGGGGATCCCTGGTGGAAGCCTGTCCTGGGGTCGTAGGCAAGAATTAGAGATGATACGAAGGCACAGGCTGCAATCTACATCGTTGAAGAGAATGCCCACGTGAGGTGAATTGAAGTATGAAAGAACAGAATTTGCCCAAATGCTCTCTCTAACTTAGTAAAGAATATCTTTTGAGTTTATTTGAACCCTGTAGGTGGATGTACTTGAAAGATGGGTGACTGCTCTTCTCTGTAAAGCTTCTGTCCCACAGTGCACCCTGCCTTTAGAAGAGGCAAGGAGGAGCAGGGGCGGAGGGAGCTCTGGGCACGCCCGCCCTCCAGCTGTCTGGCCAGTCCCGGATACCTTCGATATTTGCTGGCGTCATCTAGAAGAGTTTCAGGGCCACTGCTGTTCCCCCTGACACATAGTAAGCACTTGTTGGGCAGAACGGAGCAAATGGAAATGCAGGCAGCCCAGGGAAGCGGTGCTGATGTCTGTGTTCATTTTTACGGCCTCATTTATAGAATTGGGAACCGTAGGTTTTTAGACAGACGTCAGTATGGACAGACTTTGAGCACAAGCGTGTCAGGTATGATGTTGTTCCATGGCATTTTCTTTGTCTTCACCCCAACTAAAATGTCCACCACTGAACTTAATCTTTTTTTACTTAACCAAAATACTGTATTGCATGTCATTGTCAAATTGTAGAGTTTGGACTTTGAGAACTTTATCCTAGATGAAAATCTTGGCTTACTAGCGATTTTTAGCATTGACATTAAGCCTTTCCAACCATAGTGAATCTTATTTGAAGACTGTCCACTAATATCATCAAATAGTAAATAACTAAATTATAGTAGTTAATCTAGAAAACTGCTCTTAGGTTTAATAATTTGGTGTTTTAAATTTGTTTTCAAATCAATATTTGTATACATATTAAACTTATTTCTGTAGTCCATTAACATTGATAAAATGTTTCTCTTTACAACAGCCATATGAGGGAAGTAGGATAACTATTATTATCCCTATTTTAGAGATGGGGAAATGGAGACCAAAGAAGTTAAGTGACTTTCCTGTCACACAGCTAGTGATTGTCTAAGTCAGGATTGTAGCCCATTTCTATCTGGCACTGTTGCATCTCATCGTGTAGCCTGGAAGTTCTGTGGATGTGCAGGTTTCATTTGGGGAGATAACTCATCATTACTAGCATTAGTTTTAGATTTTCTTGCCTTTTAATCTGAATAATGCTGTTAGAATCAGGAAGTAATAGGTGAGAAGGACTTTGGAAGGAACTCATTTGAATGCCTTTAAAGAGACACAAGCATATTTCCTTTCTTATTTTAAAAATCTCGTTGTCAGCAAATTGCCATTATAGACCAGAAATTCGTAATGCGTTTAGTATTTAAATTGGAATGAAGAAGTCCTCCAAACTTTGCCAACAGAATCAGTGAGTGACCTTAAGAGGCTGCTCCTGCAAAGGATGTATCGCGGGTGATGTTGATTGTTGCTTCTAACGATGATGGCAGCTCATGTCTCTATGGTGTTTGCCATGGCGAGCCACCACGGACCTTCTTTCGCAAAGGGTAAACCCTGAGCTGAGAGCAGCTACGTGGCACCTATGTGTCCAGGCCTGGACTCACGTGCTCTTATCCACACATCGTGCCATGAACAAGGTGGTGGGCAGGTCTTTATATCTTCAAGGAAAAAAACGATGTAGAATCAACAGGCACAGCTAGAAGAGTATGAAAAAGTAGTGCTTTTTCCTGACAATTTTCTTAATGATAAAATTGTGTTAAGGTAGACATCTGTTGTGTGCCTGTTATTCTTTAAAACTATCAGATATGAAAAAAAAAAAAAGGAAAAAGAAAAAAAAATTTTTTAATTAAAAAAAAACAGGTATGTCTAGTCAAAATTGATTATGATGATGCAGGGGAAAGAAAGAATTTTTAGATTAAAAAAAACAAGGCTGGCCACTTCAGCAGAACCTGCTGTCAGCGTGCCCCAGCTTCTTGCTGGTGAGCGGCAAAGAGCAGCAGAATGTGTGCTGGGGGCTAGCTCATGGACTACCCCGCTTACGTGTGGGTTGGGTGGGCAGGAATTCAGCCTGTAAATTGGATTGCAGCATTTTGGGGTACTGCAGAGTGTTTGGTATTGGGTGTGAAATAAAAGGGGCATGGTTGGGGTGGGGTGGTTTGCTTGACCTCAGAAGCTGGAGTGGTGTCTTGGTACCTCGCCGGGTACCTGGACGGCCAACTTTAAATCACCCCCAAAGATTTTCCCTTGCAGAGGTCAGCTGGGCTTCCGCCGGTCAAGAACATGAAAGCGCGTGACCCTGACTCTCGGTCTGTAGCAGCCTGAGCTCTTCTCATATTTCTGTGAACTCTCCTTTCAGGTGTTTGTGAAGTGTCATTTTGATTACGATCCCTACAATGACAACCTGATTCCCTGCAAAGAGGCAGGACTGAAATTTTCAAAGGGAGAAATTCTTCAGATTGTCAACCGCGAAGACCCAAACTGGTGGCAGGTGAGCAAGATTCTCCCCACAGCCTTGTGGCTTCAGTGGCGCTGCAGAATTTGTTTTCTTAGCTTGGTCCAGTCTTGGGATGTTCAGAGAAACTTGGGTCCATTTTTCCTCCATTGCTACCTCTGCAGCGAACTCATTTCTTTCACAGATGTCTTCCCTCTGCCGGATGTGCTGGTTTTGAGAGGAGCCTGAATTTGGGAGGAATGTGATACCCCATGAGAGTGCCCCACAGTGGTCTCCTCATGGTTCAGGGAGTTGGGTCCTTGGGCCCTTGTACTCCCTCTTGGGATGTTTCCTTTATTTCCAGTTATTTTATGTGTTTCCTGTGGGTGCACTTATCTTCTCACCCCTCCAAATATAATATGATATAATCGTGGGTGAGAGTGTAGAGAAGGGAACCCAGTTCATCTTTGTAGTTCCATGGTAAGGCTAATGATAATTTATGAACATTTTATAGCATTTTATAATTACAAAGCACTTTCTCCTACATTATTTCATTTTCTTCTCACAACAGCAATCCAGCTAAGTTGTTAGTGCTAGTATTGTTATTGTCATTTTTATAGATGAAGAAACTGAGGCCCAAATAGGTAAGGAGACTTACCTGGTCATGCAGCCAGTAAGTGGAAAATCCAGTTCTCCAGTCTTGGTCATCTGTCTACATGACCAGCACTCGTGCCGTTGTCCCCAGAAGCGCGGGCCACTTTCCCCTAATGCCATCTCTCTCTTGTTGGGGAGGGCAGCGCCAGATTCCCAGTCCTGGGGCGGCTGTCCTCAGAGAGAGCAGAGGATGGCCAGGGCTCTTCCCAGGAGCAATGCCCACGGGCTCTTCTTTTGTTTCTTGGGGATGAGAAAGGTGAAGTGTATTTTTTATCTTCCCTCCCTCATGGTGATGAGGCTCCATCACCTCTCTCTTGTGCCCTCTGTGCACTTGGAAATAGAGAGAGCCACTCTCCAAGCTAACGAGTCAAGAAGCCAGAAGTGTGTGTGTCTGTGTGTCTGTGACTCTGTGTGTGTGTCTGTTTGTGTCCGTATGTCTGTGTATGTGACTGTGTGTGTGTGTGTGTGTGTGTGTGTGTGTGTGTGTGTGTGTGTCTGTGTGACATGTCTGTGTAGATCCCCAGTATGGGGCTCATCTCACTGAAAACAGAAAAGGAAGATGGAGAAAGGGTCATTTTTTTCTTTTAATTGGACAAAACTCAAAACTTCCCCAAAGTGCTCTTTTTCATCTAAGTAGACCACAGTAATTAACACTATAAAACTGTTAACATCCATTTTCATTTTAAATGTAATATTACTATATATCGAGATGCTAATATATAACATTTATGTATTATTTTGATACATTGTATATTTACACATTAAAACATTATTATAAATATAAACCTTACATATAAAAAAGCATTTATTTTCAGTGAACTTTAAAGGGAGTAAATGCTAATCAGAGTTGTATTCCAAATTCCTAGAACCTTACTCAGGTTTTAACAACCCTCATCTTAAAGGATCAACTTTCTAAAGCCTCTTCTCCCTTTTCTAACTTTTTTCTTCTTTCCTTGCTTGAGAATTCTTTCTCTTAGTTCTTTCTTCTCCTAATTCCTTCAGCATCCTCTTTCTTTATCCAGCCTTGAGGTCTTCCCTCTTGGATATTATTATTATTATTACTATTAGCAATAGTAATAGTAGATGATTATAATTAGTAGATAATTTGTTATTTATTTGTACGACTAACATGTAATTAAAATTGTTAATGATATTAGTAATACCAGCTAGCTTTTATGTAATGCTTTAAGGTTTGCAGAGTATTTTATAAATATTTTATTTCCAGAACAACCCTGTAAGGTTTGTGTTGTTGTCCTCCTTTTACAGTTGGGGAAACTGAGGCAGACCGAGGTTGCAATGACTTGCCCCGGGTCACCCAGCTATTAAGTGTTGAGGCCAGATCTGAACTCAGGTCTTCCTGACTCCAGGTCCAGCACTGTACACACTATGTTGCCCCCAGCAGCCTTTTCCCTTTAACTGTTTGTCCTGTAATCAATCACGCTTCTTGAATGAAAAGTCTCCCTAGGTAAGAGAGCCTGTATACAGTTATGTGTCTGCAAGGCCCAACATTTAGCTGCTGGCCAGCAATGACTGAGGGTTGGGGTGCCAGGTACTGACACCCCAGTGCTGCAGCATTGCTCATCGTGTGCCTTCCCTGAAGATGGCTTTGATTCGGCCCCAAACCAGACGTTTCCAGGAGCTCCTGGGCTCTGGGTTGGCTGCTGGCTGTCCTGTTACGGGAGGGGTCTTACAGGCCTTCATTTGCTTCCAGGCCAACCACGTTAAGGAGGGAGGAAGTGCCGGCCTCATCCCCAGCCAGTTCCTGGAAGAGAAGAGGAAGGCGTTTGTGAGAAGAGACTGGGACAGCCCAGGTGAGGCGCTCTGAGGGGACACGAGGCACGTCGCCCTCTGGGCCCCTTCCTCTGCTGTGTTCATCTACGGGAGCAGGAAGCTGGATGAGAAATACATCCACCTTGGCCTCAGCCCTAACGTGTGGCTGGCCTTTCCACCTGTCTCAGACAGCTCCTCCTCCCTCTCTGCCACCTGCCGGTGTGTTACGCAGGCCTTAGGCCCAAGGCAGGCACAGTTGGGATTGGCCTTTTAATGCCAGTGTTTGTTTGTTTGTTTGTTTGTTTTCCAGTTACCTGGAACTCTGTAAGTTTAGGTGGAAACTATTGATATCTCAGCGCTCACTTTCCCCTTCCATCCCCTCCCTGGGGCAGAGCACCCCCGTGTGATACTGCGAGAGCATTTCCCCATACTCTGGCCTGCTGTTTAAAATGCATTTGCCTTTTTGTCTCCAGGGCCTTTCTGTGGAACTATAAGCAGCAAAAAAAAGAAAAAAATGATGTATCTCACCACCCGAAATGCAGGTATTTTGAGATGTTTTTGAAAAGTCTGAATGAAATTGTAGCCTCCTAGAGCATGAACTGTGATGTGTAATTCAGAATAAATAGCCTCCCGGCGCCCACTGGAGGGCCCAGCGTCAGGGGATGTTCTTTCCCCAGGGAAGGCTGTGGTGCTGTTCCTTGGTGTGTCTCTGTGGGCTTTGTTTGATGAAAGTCATTAATGTGTGCGACTTCACCTGCTTTTGCCACTGTATGACGCTTCTCCCACCTGATACCCTGATTGAAGGAGAGAGATTTGGCCACAGGAAGTAGTTTAAGTAGATTCTTCTTAGTCACTTCTAATCAGGAGGCTTTTTGTGAAGCTTCTCTGTGTAAAGAAACAACTGAGTCACGATGGGTACTTAACCAGGTCACTGCTTTCCCAGCTCTGAATCAGACGGACCGGGGTCTTCCTTTCTCACATTCCTATAAATGTGAAATTCCTAATGACTACCATATTTGCTGGAATAATTTCCTCTTCTTAGAAGATTTTTACCGAAATAAACTGAAAAAATTTGTTGAAGCAAAGTTCTTCCAGTTCTGCCTGCTGCCAAGGTGAAATATAGCCCTTTGGTGAAAGGAGTGAGTGAGCCCCAGAATCCTAGAATCTAGAGTTGGAGATCCTTCAAAGGACTAGATCCAGTCCAGTCATTTAATGGGTACTGCACTGAGAGGTTCTGACCTTCTCATGGACGTCTCCTGTGTGGACCCAAACCCCAGGGCTCCTCCCCCAACTCCATCAGCTGCCTCTTTCTTTTCTCTTCTGGGGCAGTGGGAAGAGTCCTGCCCTTGTATTCCCGAGCCCTGAGTTGGGGCCCCTGATCTCCCACTTAATAGTTAATATGATGTTCACTGATTCTCGATCCCCATCAGGACAGGACCTCAGAGGCCATGAAGGGCGACCCCCTCCTTTTACAGAGGAGGAAACTGAGGCCCAGGATGGGAAGGGACATGTCCAGGCCCAGTTAGCATGTGAGCCCAGGCCGCCTGACTCCAAAGCCAGGACTCCTCCCACTCTCCCAAGTTGTCCATTTCCCGATGGGGTCCTCCCACCCACCTGGATAAGAGGGGAACCCAGAGGCTTTTGTCAAGAGCAAATCGCTCTTCTAGCCCTGGGAGAGGGGTTGGTTCTCACCTCTTCTCTTGTTTTGGACCAAGGGTCCAAATAATAGTCAAAGCTGCCATCCAGGAGAGGAGTACAGGGAAGGGCAGAAACATTTTAACAAGGAGAAACAATGATAGAGACAGTTTTCAAGTAGAGATAATATCCTTTAATTTCCTAGAGTCAATTCTATTCCTGTGAGGGTTCTTGAAAAGCCCAGACGAGGTACCTGTGCAGTGAAGTTGACAGGTGTCATACCACATGAATGTGTGTGCCCCTGGAGGTACACCCGTATAAATTGGTGCAAATATCTGTGTGTTGAGCTCTGTTTTGCCCCTACCTCTCCCTAAGTCTCTCTCTCTGCTGAAACTGTAATGAAAATGACCTTCAGAATTCAGGAGCAGCCCTTGGTGTGTAAGCCCCGCTCCCAGTGCCCTGTGCATGTCCTCACTTGGCTCCTGAGAGAATGGGGTGCAAACCAACAGAGAGATGGTGACGCCGCCTCAATAGGGAGCTTGCTGGTGGCTTCACGGCTGCGCCGTCGAGGCAACAGAAGCGTTCCTAGCATTTCCCAGGGGCACTGCAGGGCTCCTGAGCAGGCCAGTGCCAGCTTAGAAATACACGGTGTCCTGGCCCTAGCTAGACCAAAGGGAAAGGCTGAAGTGTTTGCCGGACAGGCCCCAAGCGTCGCTTTCTCTTTTGGCGGCCTTGCCCACCTCCTTTTCGCTGACCCTGAGAGCAGCTCCCAAATTCCTGGGAAGGGTAGATTGTCGCCTTGTTGCCTGGGGCTGTCCCTGGCCAGAGGAGCCGCGTCTGGGTGGGGCACAATGACAGTGAGGTGGCCTTTGTGCAGATCTGAGCCCAGCCCCATGTGATCAGGCGCAGCAGCGCTAATGTGTACAATGGGCCATTTTACCAGGACACTCCTTGGGGCTGATGGCCTAGTCGTGGATGTTTGACACTCTCCTCTTTGTATTTAGAATTTGACCGACACGAAATCCAGATCTATGAGGAAGTAGCAAAAATGCCTCCCTTCCAGAGAAAGACGCTGGTGTTGATAGGGGCCCAGGGCGTTGGCCGAAGAAGCTTGAAGAACAGATTCATCGTGCTGAACCCCACGAGGTTTGGGACCACGGTACCATGTAAGTCACCACTGCTTCCTTTGTGTTCATGCCAAAGGATGCCTTCCCCTTGGGACGTCCTGTGCCAGAGGCACAGGGAGCAGGGCTGCCCCCTCTCCCCTTCTCTCGAGCCCCTGTTTCTCTCACGATCTTTTGTCTGATTTGAGCTCGGAGAAGGTTTGCGTAAACTAGACTGATCATCCTGGCTTTCAGAAGTGTCAGATGATGGCCTTCCTTCCAAAGAGGAGATTGCCCTGCTATTTAGCAAGCCAGACCCCTCACGAAAGCTGCTACGTTGTCATCTTTTGGGTCTGCTGGCATTTTAAAAACTTAGCAGTGCGTGGAGCTAGAATGCGTGCCAAGACAGGCTGTGCAAAGAGTGATGTTCATTCTGACCCGTGAGCTGGACAGACACTTCCTAGAAGTTGAGCACGGGCTCCCAGGTGTTATCACAGATTTGGGGGCTAGAGAACACTAACTCGTCCTAGCACCTTCAGATAAACTTTTTTATGGTCACATAAGTGATGTGGGACCTCAGTCCTCAACCTCCTGCTCTCACTCACCATGTGCCCATCAGAAGTAGAGTTAGTTACATTCCCTATAGTTGAAGGTAAAAAATTCACGAAGTTGAACTCTCTCTCTCATCGTGTTTGGTTGCTCTTGAATTTATTTTGTCCATAAAAAGAAAGCCTTTTTGTTGTCAAAATCACAATTATGTGAGTTGCTTTCAAACTGTTCTGGACATCACGAACCCCTTTTGCCTCATCCACACAAACTAGAAATGGGAGCTAGTCCAGGTAGACCAGAAGGTTTTTGGGCAAAGCTGGCGCCTCATATTGAGTGACTGGTTTGCCAAGTGCCCCGTTCTGATTCTGTGTGTCAGTCAGAGAGGTGATACCATCTCCGAGCACGTGGTCAGAAGCCAAGGGACAGTCGGGCCTTCAGGTTAGGCTTTGGTTAGAAGGGCTGAAAAGCTTCAGGGGACGTTGCCCTCCCACTTCCCAACTCCTTTGCCTTTTTAAGAATGTCCCTGTGGCAATATTACAAGATGCAGGGAAAGAGAAGATGGAGAGAAGGGACTGCGTTCTAACTGTGAAGCAGCTGGACACCCCCATGGAGAGAATAAAAGCAGAAAATTAAGGGGTGGAAATGTCATTGGCAGGAGGCTGGGTGTTGCAGCATTACGTGAGTGAAGCCGCCTCCCAGGAGCACAGCAGCGCCTCAGCTCTGAGAGGAGGCCCACTGCTGCTTCTTCATGTGAAAAGGGGGAGAGAAACCAGCTGGAAAGGCGGCAGGTGGGGCCTGGTTGCTTAGTGGCTATTGCCCTAGGCTTTCCAGCCTGTTGCATGAGTTTTTAAAGGAAAGCAGAGCCCCAGGGCAGACCTGGCCTTAATAGAGTCTAATTGGAGAGAAATGCTCACTCCTGTGCTCCTAGGCCTCTCAAGCTGCTTTCAGGCTGTTCTCCTTGTGTCCTGAGCTAGAAATAAGCCCTGAGGGGCTATTCTGGGAGCTCCATCATCATTTCTAAACAAGTGTCAGACAGGCCACTTGTAGTTCAGACTCCCCATCTAGAGGGTCTAAGGTCATCTCTCAGATAGAAAACCTCTGGGCTTCTCTGAGAACTGAAGGTGTCTTGTCCTGTCTAGAAGCTCTTTGTAACCAGCCACCCTTGTACACAGTTACCTCACGGAAGCCGAGGGAGGATGAGAAGGATGGCCAGGCCTACAAATTTGTGTCGCGGGCTGAGATGGAGGCAGACATTAAAGCTGGGAGATACTTGGAGCACGGTGAATACGAAGGAAACCTCTATGGCACCAGGATAGACTCCATCTTGGAGGTGGCCCAGACGGGGCGGACGTGCATCCTGGATGTGAACCCACAGGTGAGTCCCGGGGTTCGCGAGCAGGGCAGGGCAGGGTCTTTTCTTCAGGCCCTGGGCTTTCCCTCCAGCTTCATGGAGGGTTTTGGTGACTTCCTCTCGCTTGCCTGTTTCCTGGTAATAAGCCAGCCACGTGCCAAAGGGATGGAATCTGGGAGGCTTGACCTGCAGGCTCAGTGAGGGTTTGACAGGGCTGCCCACGTGTACGCTGTGCCAAATTGGTTTGGTTATCACTAGAGTATTTTCATTCTGTGCATTGAGTGAAGAAAATAGTGTATTCTGAGAATAAATTTGTAGGTTTCTACTTTTTCTACTCATTTTAGGGATGCAGCTGATCCTACTTGTGCCAGTATAACGTATTAGAATTCGTTTCTAGGTGTCAAATCTTCCCTTGGAAATAACTTCATTTGTAGCCTAAGCTACATATGGTGAGGCTGTATGAATTGGTTCATCATATTCATTTTTTCCTCCAGGCTCTGAAAGTATTAAGGACATCTGAGTTTATGCCCTACGTCGTGTTCATTGCTGCTCCCGAATTAGAGACCCTGCGTGCCATGCACAAGGCCGTGGTGGATGCTGGGATCACCACCAAGCTCCTGACGGTGAGCGAGCTCGGGTGCTGTTGGGGGGAGCCCTTTTCACCAGGTTGTCTGTCTTGTCTCTGGGGCAGATTTGCCTTCACAGACTCCCTGCGAGGGGTGGGTGTGTCGGGACTGTGACATAGGGGTGGAAGCTTGCTGTGCGTGGGCCGTGCTGTCGAAGCATGATACGTGGCCCACCCTGAAGCCAGCCGCGACAGCATCCTTGCTGACTAGCGCAGTGAGAAATAAGGAAGCAACGTTTTAGAGCCAGGGCACATGTCAGTTCACTGAATCCAGCCTCCTCATCTTGTCGGTGAGGAGACCAAGCCCCAGCGAAGCCACCGGAAGCTCACTGAGGTCACCTCACTAGGTAACGTCGAAGCAAGAGACGGAAAGGCAGGCTGACCTGTTATGACACCGCACTCCTGATGTCCCAGCGGGGAGGGACACTTAAGGCCGAATTACACCTTTGTCCCTACTTTCGTGATCCAGGTTAATTTCTATATTTTTATCTAAGGCCTTATGCCTTGATGGGGAGATATTAGCACGTAAACGTCAGGGAATCGGGTCATAGGATTTAAAACAAAAATGTGAAAGATGATGTAGTGTCCATCTGCCTCCCTTTACATCTCAGGAGACTGAGGCTCAGACAGTCACCTGCTAGTTCCGTGGCAGAACTGAGGCTGGACCTCACGCTTTTTGGCTCCACATCCAGTGTTCTTTAGTAGAACGTGGCCTGAAGGCGTGTGGGCTGAGCATGGTGCCCTTGTATGATGTATCCATGTTGTAAAATTACACATGCCGGTGGGACAGACAAAATGCCGTTCACTCGCCGGTGCCTATGATGAAGACCACTGGCTCCTGTCCAGTCCTGGCACCCGCGGTTCTCATGATGCCTCTGGAACGAGGGGGAGAGAAGAGACTTTGGAAATGAAATGTGACGTGGCGAGCAAGCTACTGTTCTTGGGCTTTCTTGCTTGGAACAGGTCTCCAGGCGTGATGTTCAGGCTAATTCTCCCATTTGTTACCCCCATGTGGCAGAGAAGCCAGATTCTCCCACACCCACGAGAATGTTCCTTTGGTTGGTTTGGTCTGTCCCAGAGCCAGTCCATGGCTTACATCGAACATGTCATGGGTAAGATACCACTGACAGTCACTGTGTCTCCTGAGGTCCCGCTGGTTCTGCCCAGTAAGTGAAATTCAGCTTACAAGGCTGCAAAGGGGTCTCCTGGGGCTGCCTGCTTTCTGCTGTGACAGATCAGCTGTGCCTTCAGGGTCCCTAGCTGGTGGGGGGCAAGGCTCGTAGCATGACTATTAGAAATGAAAGGTGTCGTCTTGGCAGGAAGATCCAGAGGAGCACGCGTGTCTGTGTGCCTTCACTTTGAGGAGGCTCTGGAATCTGACCTTCCATAATGGGTGATCACATGAATTGACAGATGAGGTCAGCGTAATTCCTGGAGACAATCTGCCTTCTCAAACCTAATCATCCTGACTTAGGTTTATTTTGGGTTTCACAGCTAGGAAGCACTCACCTTCCTTTTCTCTTTTGTGGAAGGTCCAGAACGAGGATTCTTATGCCCCATCAGATGTCCCCAGTGGCACCAACAGAGTCTTTCTCTAGGGAGTTTGCTTTCTGGTGAGCACAGAGGAGGCAGAATCAGGAAGTGCACCAAGGTGATAGTTGTTATTCCTGTGAGTGATCTCTCAGAGAGGCCCCTGAAGGTGGTGGTATGACCTTGTCTCAAGACCAGTGTTCAGGGCCTCTCTCTCTAACACATACTAGCCATGTAGCCAATCACTTCCTAACTCAGGACTTCACACAGCTCTCAGCATATACATTACAGATGTCCGTTGGTGTGGTCAGAGGGAGTTCCTTACACTGATGAAATTGTAGGTCAGATCCAAAAAAAGAAACCAAAATAACTAATTGATTTGCAACCTCAATATGGTGGTGTCTGATACCTTCAGTAATTTAAGGGCGGTGCCCATCATAACATAAGCCGTGTCTACGTAGCTGACATGAACTGTGCAAACTTCTAGAAAACCAAGAATTGGTTGGAAATGATATGAGCCAAAAGACAGCAATATAAAACGACAATACAGTCTTTGTTGGGGGATAAGTGCCAGGATTTTGTCTAGAAACCAGTCAGCCGTGACCCCCAGAGGCAGGTGCTAAATCGTGTTTCGTGGAGGTCTGGTGAGATCTGGGGAACTCTTCTCAGTCACGGTTTTAGATGCATAGAATAAAATACTGAGGATTACAAAGGAAACCAGTGAATGTCATTGTAAAAATGTTAAGACACTCCAGGCTGCATTTCATGCCAGAGATCAGGAGCGAGTGGGTTCTGTGAGCCCTATGGGTTGTCCCTGGTTTGACCTCTAGGATGTATCAGGGTGAGCTGTGAGGGTCAGATAAGCCTGCAGAGTAAGGGGCACCCCTCTTGTGCATGGGCCAGCCGCTTCCCCAAGGCCTTTTGCCACAAGGCCGTCTGCCTAAAATGTGATCACATCACAGTGGAAGTTGTGTAAAGGACACACTACCAGTATCAACGCACTTCTTTCCTTTCAAATCCATATAGGACACGAACCTGAAAAAAACGGTGGATGAAAGTGCGCGCATCCAGAGAGCCTACAACCACTACTTTGATTTGGTCATTGTAAATGACAACCTGGACAAGGCCTTCGAGAAGCTGCAGGCCGCCATTGAGAGACTGCGAGTGGAGCCGCAGTGGGTCCCCATCAGCTGGGTGTACTGACAGAGGAGGAGCGAAAGGACAGCTAAGCCTTTCTGAGTAAACGTTCACCTAAGAAGCGTGTGCGGAGCTAGATGGTACCTGCCGAGGCGAGGCATTTTTACTCTGTAGACTGAAACATTAGTACACGAATCTGAATTTTTATAGAAAATGTGGAAGGGGAAGTGGACTTAAATATGTAATTTATCTTGATTTTTCTAACTTTTTACAGATAACCTTTCTATTCATATCACAGAGAGAAATGCGTTGAAGCATTTTGTATATGTTTTGATTTAGCATTTTTGCCTTTTTCATCCGAGTTTTCCAATCATTCACTTCAACAGTGCATTTTGGTCTCATATTTTCACTGTGATAATGGATACTTGAAGCAGTTTTTGTAAAACCCTCATTCTAGTTCTGTTGTCAGTTATTCTTATTAAGGGAAAACACTAATTATGAGCTGTCATCCTAATTGAATTTCTTATGAGAGCAGAATGCCAATAACCAGTGCCATAACCAGCATCCCGTCACGTCCCTCCGGGTCTGCTTTCTGCTGTCTTGGAGAGGCAGGGCTGGTTGCCCATCGTATTTCACACAGACAGTAGGTCCCCTTCGTGGTGGTGGGGGCCCTCTGCTTCAAGGCCAGCCTTTTCCCAGCATTCATTGTGGTGAGAGGAGGTACTGCTGCTCACCTGTACCTGGTACAGCGTGGCTAGCAAGAAGAGGTGTCCCCAGGGGGAGAGAGCCCTCAGGATTCAGGAAACGGAAGCTTAGGGCAAAGTATTTATTTTCACTAGTGAAAATTTCACTGATAAAGAAAAAAACTTTATTTATAAAGCTTTTTATTATGATATGGTCAGCAGTTATATTTTACATCTGTAAATTCCTGTGATATTTAAAGATTCTCTTAATTTTCCATTTTGAGGTATTTGTGAGTGAACCTTGTGTTTATGAGATGTGATATGATGGGATATTCGTGCTGTGTCGTGTTGAGAACCATATCCATTGAATAGCTTGTGAAAGGTGAAAGGTATTGCTCGATGCTCTAAATAGATGTTCTTTATGCAGCACGTTTCTGTTATGAAATGTGCTTTGTGCTTAATGATGGGGGGCGAGTGTTTTTGCCTCCTCGGACTCATTCACATCATCATATGCAGATTTCTACATTCACATTGGTACGCATAGAAACCCTGCTGCAGACACGTAGAGAAGGATGCAGGCAGCCAGCCAGACGCTTTCCTGGGGCCTGGCGCTCTGTGATCACTTCAAAGGTGAGGATAGGTGCCTGAATCTCACTGGGTTTGAGGGTTTGGGGGCCGGCGAGGTGACTGCTGAAGATTGCTTCCCGCACGGCACCAGGAAAAAGAAGACTCTGGCTGGGACCTTGTAAGAAAGATGGAGACTTCCACTGATCGCCTTAGGTTTCCAAGGACCAAGATGTGCACAACGGGACAGGGTACAGATCACCTAAAGTAGTTACATAATTCATTAAGACCCTGTGCTAGCCGAGACTTCAATTGCTAGTTATTTTTTCAGGTCCTGTTGTTCTCTAGTCGTAACACACAGATCCCTTTCTTGGTCTTAGGGTGGGTATTTAACATCTCCCAGAAAATATTCTCTAAAATAGTCACAGTGTTTAATAAGTATCTATTTCCACCAGTTTCTTGTCTTCTCACAACACAAGTCAGGGGACCTGTTTAGAGGTAACTCTCTGTGATTTTAGGGTTTCCGTGTTTTGTATTTTTTAAGATGGCAGTGCAGTTAAGCTCAATCACTTTCTGATATAAAATGCAGCAAAAGGGAGATTGGAATTTGTCCCCTCTCAGGGATGCGTTGGCCTCCTAGGAAGGATGGCCTGGTGGGGCAGGGACTGTCTCTGGGGTAGCACCAGGACGGAGGTAACTCTGGACTCATGGATTAAGTTAGCCGACATGCTGCTTCTTCATCCCGTCGTAACGAGCTGCACCAAGTATCTTTAGAAAGCAGTCTGTTAGGAGGGATGCACTTCTCTTACTAATGGTGGATGTGCCTGCATACCCACCTTCCCGAGAAGTGGGCTTGGAGCGGTTTCATCTCCTTGGCTTCCTTTGCTCTCAGTTGTCACAGTGTCCTAATCAGGGATGGAAAACGCTGAACATGTGGCTTTTTTAGGCAAGATGGCCACAAGGACGGGGCTCAGCCACCTGGTGAGTGTCTGGGGACCTCACAGGGCCAAAGGGAAGCCCTGAGGGCCAGCCCACCTCTGCTCCTCAGCATTGTGACCTGGACCAAACCCATCTGTAAAATGAGGCCCTTCTAGCTCCACACCCTTGATCCTAGGGTATGTCTTTAGGGCACTCCAAGAGCCTCCTTTCTGCGAAAAGGGAACCAAATTGTGGGTTTCCTTCCACTCCCTTTAGGATTGCCAAACCACCTAGGGCCATGCCTCACAGCAGAGCAGCTCCCATATGGTGGGCCCCCCAGTCACCTGATGAGGACTGTAGACCCAGAGGGGTTGGCCTTCTGCACTGGTGTTGGAGGCTTCTCCAGGGGCCGGCTATCCAAATGGTTCTTGGAGGACACATGGATGTTACGTGCCCTTGGGAGTAGAGCCAGGAGCTGTAGGGAGCTTTGATGATAAGGGAATGGTTCGAAGTGATTCCAGACGCTCTGTGTGAAGGGCCATCTTGGTAATGGGTTGGAAGGCTACTTGGGACCAGATGCTGACTTAATCTGGAAGGAGTCATTGAGATTGAAGGTCATGTATTAGAAATCTCCCTTAAATGAGGAGAGGCAGCAATGTGGACCATCATGTTTTTATCAAGTGGGAAATAGAATTTGAACGGTCTTTTGAAATATATAAACAGCCTCGAAGATGATTTTCCTTGGTGAAGATGCCATTGGCCCATAGGAGGAGCTGTGTTTGGACCAAAATACCTTTCCTTCTGGCAGCTAGCTCCATTGGGACTTCATTGTGGTGTGATGTGGTGTGCACTCATGCCAAACTGTGCTTGCCCCTAAAATAGAAATGGTGTTGTCCAATGCAACAATCAGTGCAGTGATTGACCCAGACCACACGAGGTGTTGCTTTTTATTGCAGCTGGCTTGTCAGTCTGAATTTTTATTTAAAACAGCAAACAAATCAGGGCATGAAGCATTTCCTGAGGAGAGGCAATAGCCCAGGTACGGGAAATCAGGTTCACAGCCAGGTTGGTCTGTCTGGGCTACTTTGACGTTTCATCATGAGCCATAGAAGACATCCCCTTCCCAAAAGCTCATGGTAACATCGAGCTAATTATGTATCAGCATGTACCATATGCCAAAGGACTCTCTTCACTCATTAGGCAGGACCACAGCTTCCCGGGAAGGAGCGATGGCCATGGGCTCATGCACACTTGTTAACTGATGAGGCTTTGCAGGTCAAAAGCCTTGGAAACTGGCCAGAAATAATCCATCATCTCGCCTGCTGTTTGACTCCTGACACCCCCAGTTTGAGGGTCTGGATTCTTTTTCTTTACCCAAAACCTAACATTGTTGTATTTAAATAACTGTCAGGGGTTCTGAAAATTATTCTGTGCTAATGAGGAGGAGGCAGTTCTGAAATTCTATGTAAAGAGATAACTGCTCATTTTTTTCAGATGTTGCCATGTTTCATATACATACTGTGTGTATGTATATGTATGTACACACACATATGTATCATCAGATTGTATAAAATAACCAAATTCTATCTCAGAACTGATGTCCCATAAAGTGTCTCATGCATAATAAAATTGAACATCTAATCCCATGGCTGGTGTTATAAAACTTAATTACACCAGAGTTCTTGGCTTTGCTGAATTCCTGTCTATGGTTTTGAAGACTCTGGTACTGCCCGGATACAGGTACTCATCTGACTTCTGAAGAATAGGTGGGGAAGAAATAACCCAGAAAGTATCATTACCTGTAACTTTGAATTTTTAATCAGCAATTAAGAAAAAAGTGACAAGTTACTTTACTAGGAAATGGTCATTTTAATGTTGTGATAAAATGCCTTTGAAATGAGAAAGGGCCGTGGTTTGGTTTGGTTTTGTTTTTTTTTTAAGGTAGTTGAGGTTAAGTAACTTGCCTAGGGTCACACAGCTAGTAAATGTCAAGTGTTTGGCCTGAGGCTGGATTTGAGCCCAGGTCCTCCTGACTTCAGGGCAGGTGCTCTGTCCACTGCGCCACCTAGCTGCCCCTAGGGCCACGTGTTTAGAGCTGCTCTTCTGTTGGCCCAGGGGTTTATGAAGATTGTCAGATAGACTGATTGGCTCTCCTGGTCTGGGGCTGGGGGTAGGGGTGGGGGTGAAGACTTTACTTGATTTTCTGCCTGTGGTGGGTGTTATGTACATGTGTGTGTACACACACACGTGCGCATACTTCTTCTGCGTTTCTTCTTCTAATCTGATCTCTAGGTTGGATGGTGTTTGGTCATTGACCCTATTCTGTCTCCTGGGTTCCCAGGATGGGCTTTTTCCAGTTAGGAAGATGATGCTGGCAGCTGCTGCAGACCCAGCTCTTCCCTCCCCCTCCCCACCCCTACGCTTGATCGAGAGTGTTTCTTTTCTGGATCAGCTGTGTGAAGTTGGCCTGAGTCTGTTCTGATAGGTTTGGAGTTCTAATCCTGAATTTTCTGTGACAAGACTGAAGCTTTCTGTCAAGTGAGGCTATTTAATTTCCTCCTTCTCAGCAGAGGGTCATGTAGTTTTTTTTCACCTCTGAAATGAAAAATCGTGATTCAGAAAGCACTCCCTAGATTTGGGGTTGGGGCATGCGGAACTTGACCCACCCCCCGTGATTCTCTCCTGGGGCTGATGCAGTCATTTTCGTCATATCCCTTTGCTCTCCAAAATGCGTCTTTCCAAACCTGGGAATAGGTGCTTGACATGTACCATTTGGACGCCCCATATTTAATCCCATAGCAGCCCCAAAGATGCAGGCCTAGGAGATGCTGATCTGGCCCGTAGTACATAATCCCTTCTGGAGCCAAAGCCTTACACCCAGAAATAAACGACTCCTCTGTCTCTGTGTTTGTTGTGAATAACTCAGGGATAGTCTAAGGAACAGACTCTTCTTTCCTCGTCCTGAAATTCTTTCTCTGCAGCCATGGAGCAAAGCCCTAAGGTGCGTTCTGGAGAAAGCAGTTTAGCATTCAAGGTCAGATTATGACAAATGGAAGATTAATGTAAAATTAGGTCAAAATGCAGGCAACTAATATTTTCCCTTTTTTTGTTTTATTAAAATATTTAGACTATTAAATATTGGGGGGGGGGGGTCATGAGATGGGAGGGTATTCCTGAAATGTGCCCAGCACCTTGTGATTATGATTCATTTCCTTTCTCCTAAGGCCTGGGCTGGTTTCCTGAATGTTTACCTCATGGTGGCAGTTGCCACATTCCTTATACCTCTTAGGAGCTGCCACCCCCACCACTGGCTCTCCTGGCCCTAAGGCCCAGCTTGGGTTGGATCAGAGTTCTTCAGTAGCCAACTTTATCCCCTTTTCCCTTTCTCTGCCTCCAAGTCTTTGCTAAGTGGAGACACCCACAGGTGACATTAACGGTGCTTATGAATAGCAGGACGAATGACTCAGGCTCAGCCAGGGTTGGTGAGGGTGGCGCAGAGCCCGAGTCAGAGGGAACAATTTTTAAAATGTGCAACAACTGTGGCATTTCCGCCTGCACCAGTCCGGGGGGCTCTGTGCCTTTGTAGGCCCCGAAACCAGCTCCGGCACCATGCAGTTGGTGCTTAAGAAATGCTTGTTGGTTGGCCAATTAGACCAATATCAGAGAAGCTTCCCATAAACTTTACATTAGTTGCATGTTTCCACCTTAACCATGTAAAAGAGGTAGCAATAATTAACTCGTTTTTCAGTTTTCCAAATTATAATAAGATCAGTCACTAATTGTTGCCACTTTAAAATGCATAGAGGTTTTGTTTGTTTGTTTTTTTTAACAAAAGGATGAGAATTTAAACTATAAAGGTGTATTAGCCTTCTAAGTAGAAAAGTCCTGTTTAGTAAACTGAGGTTCACACGGTCCAGGTGAGGAATGGGGCGAGTTCACAGGCTTACGGATTTAGGGCTGGAAGGGACCTTGAAGGTCACCTGGTCAGAATTTCATTAGACAGATAAAAAGAGGAACCAGTTTGCCCTGAATTCAGCAACAGACTAAGTGGCAGATTAAGTCCAAAAGAGTTTTTTTTAATTAAAAAAAATTTTTTAATTAAAATTTTTCTCCATGTATTTTAAATTGAAATTCTTGCCCCCCAATGTTTCTATAAGGTTGGCTGGAAAGATAGAGCCTCTGGTTCTTTTTTTAAAGAGCCAGCACTCCAGACTTAGGGCATTTTTGTTTTAAGGTTCATCGAGGATGCTGGAAAAAGCTTTGGGATGTTTCTTCTCCTTGACATTTCTTTTCATGTGTAGTTTTACATTGGAAATTAAAATGCATGTGCTTTATAATTGTCTTTTGCACATATGTGGAAGAGAACAGTTTAAAAACTGAGGACAAAAAGCTCAGCAGCCCCAAGACCCGAGTGTGAACACACTGCAAGAATCTAGCCATTCCAGTGTTAATAAAGTCAGCTGCTGCTCCTTTCCATCCCGGCTCCCATAGAAGGGAGACTCTGATGTCGGCTTTGCCCAAAGACGAGCCAAAAACGAGGGTTTTCCATTTTACAAAGTCCCTTCCTCCTCCTCCCCTTTCACACATTTTGTGTCTTGTTCACGTGTTGTCCAGAGTGCAAGTTACAGAAATGTACAGAATCTATGAGATTTACCTGTTCCCAATGAAATATTTTTGTACATACAAAGAAATAAAGACTTATTATTGGAAGAGGCTGTGAGCCTTTTTTCCTCCCTAGTCACATGTAGTAACTGAAATGGGCTGTTCACTTGGTTAGCAGACAGGCTTTCTTTGCTTGGGTGGAACCTTGACCCCTGGGAACTGCACCTGTCTCCGACTGCAGCGTGGCCCAGCCTCAGTCTGGCCAGAGGTACGGTCCCATGGGCCAAGCAAGGCAGCCCAGCTCAAGGAAGCCTCGTCACCCTCAGAAATAAAGAAAGCTAGACTGCTCTGAGCCCCAAAGGCAGGCAACTGATCCCGTGGGTGACCAGAACATAGCAGGTCACTTTGAAGAGACGTCACAACAGAGAGACAGGCACGACAGTTTAGGATTTCCTCTGATGTCCCCCAGTTTTATAAATTAAACATCTGGAATGCTGTAAACTGTATGTGTGGCTCACATGGTCTCCATCATACACCAGCAGGATCAGAGAGAAGGCCAGGACTTTGCTGGGAGGTTGTTGGACAAGGAGCTGTGGGAAGCCTCTGCCCACCCCAGCTCCTTTATCCATCACCACCAGAAGCAAGTCATCTCAGTCAAAAAGCACAAGCAGCCTGTTCCTCCTTTCGAAGGTGGTGGGGGAAAGCAGACAGGTTGGCAGCCTCCTTGGTGGCCTCAGAATTCTCCTGCTTGGATGAGAACCACCTGGTTCCCCTCTCTGTGCTGGGCCCCAGCCCTAAAAGGGAATATCGTCGATGCTGAGAGGATATCTGCAGACAGACCTTTCTGTAATGTGTTTTTCTAACAGGTGAATATTTGTGATTCTAATATTAAAAATGTTAGGAAGCTTTGTACTTAAAAAGGGAATGCTGCTGAGTTCTCTTATAAAAGGAAGCCCTAAGTGGGGAAAAAATCGGCTTGTTTTGATTTGTCTTAGGAGTTCAGCTTTTTGGATGTAAGAGTTTCTGAGGAGGCTCCCTGGAGCGTGCAGGACGCAGACGCCCACCACTAAAGTGCCTGGGGCCTTACCTGACAGCCTCACTTGTCTTTTCTTTCTAAAGCACAAAGTCCATTCAGGATTATATAAAGAATGAGGGGGAGATACTGAGGCTTCTTCATAATGAGGGCCTTCACAGTCGCCTCCCTTCGCTCCAGGCTGATGTTTGAGAGAGCAAACAATTTCTGCACAATCTCAAATCTTTCTGCGTCATTGAGAGGGGCCAGGCTCGGATCTCCGAGTTCAGAAGAGCCATCAGCAGATGTCACTTGAGGCTGTAATTAGATCCACCCATTAGAGAGCTAATGCATTTATTTCCTTAAGTCACGAAAGAGCAGAAAAATGAAAGTCATCTACTTTTTAACAACCGTCTAGTCTGAGCCCCATCATTTTACAAAAGAGGAAACAGGCTGGGAAGATGAGCTTTTCCAAAGTCTGGCCGCTGGCCAGACCCCCTGTTGACCCTGACCTGGGGCTCCCTCCACTGATACAGATCCGAGGGTCACGTTTAATGCAGGAGGGATCTTGGCCTTCTGGAGTGTAACTCTTATTTTGACTGAGGCCTGGAGAGGTTGCTGTGGTAAGCTAGCCAGGAAAGGGCAGACCTAGGGTTTAAACCCAGACCCTCACTCCCAATCCAGGCTCTTTCAGTTCATTTATTCTCTGCTGCCCATCCTGGGGTAATCCCCGACTCCTCCCCACAAACAGGGCACAGGAATGTTTTTGTAAAAATTTGTACGAAATGTTCGGTTTCTCCATGGCTCAGTCATCGTCACACGTGGAAGCAAAGGGAAAGATGATGATGGGGATCACACCCCCAAATGGAATTGGTAAGTGGAGGTGAAGGCCAAGAGGTCTTTGAGTAAACACTTTTTTTTTTAAGTACTTTGCTAAGAGATTAGATTACCTTGTAAATGCTGAACACTTACCTACCCCCTCCTCTGGGAAAGCTGTTACTAGGTCACCCTCCTTTGCTCACTCAGAGCAGA